AAAAGTGGTGAATAAACTAAACATTTTCAGTTTAAGTCTTCATTTAAATTCTTGAAGTGAAAAAGTAGAATCGCCTTTTTTATTTATTATGTAACATTACTGTTTAACTAAAAGTAACTTATGTATTGTGCTAACGAAAAAACATAGTTATCTATCATGTTTTTTAAGTAGCAACCGCCCAAGTATCGTACATGACACTGCTCTCTATGACAAATTGAAATATTAATTTGTATAATATGTTCTGAATCAGTATATTCGAACAGTAGTCTGTCTGCCGATTACGAAGAGAATGTTCCAACGAATTTTTAAAACAATTTCGATCAAGATTTTTCCAGAAATATGAAGTTGTTATTGTATCTTAGGAGGTGAAATATTTTGTAGTGTCTAATTTTACGTTCCGCTCATGGTAGCAATTTGAGTGGATGGTTTGTTAAACCAAAAATTTATTTTCTATTATCTAAAAGGAAAAATAAACGAATCTCGATTAATATCATTAAAATTGTTTTTAAAATAAAAGACTAGCGTTCCTAGCATAAAGACTAGCCATGACGACGGGGTAAATTAAACGAAATTCTATTTAGTCCGACAGGTACATTTTCAAAAAGTAATTTACAATAATTTTTCGCTTGTCAATCAACAAAAACTAGCATAGATAAAGCGCGTCAAAGTTTGATAGCGGGGGGTGACGTCACTTCCAAGTAAAAATTGTACCAAGAAGTGACGTCATGCGACATTTCCAATCTATATAGGTAGTATATCTCTGTAATGTTTTGACTGTGTGATAAAAGAACAAACACGTGTCCAATACTTTTACATAATCTACTTGACAGACGAAGAAAAAACCAGTCATCATCCCTATTTCAAATTACTGTTAGTCTGAGATCCGACGATAAAAAATATTATATTTTAAAATAGACAGAGGTCCAGTCTTTTATGAACTCAAATTGCTATTAGAGCGAAAAGCAGACAGGAAGATACAGATGTAAATGATACAATTTATCGCATTTCCTAGAATAGAGTTTGAATGTTGTTGCAATATATAAGAGACCATGACCTTAAGCTTTAGTTAGATTAGGTTAGGCTAGATTATTTATTAAAAGTTCTTCTATTACGGTGGAAACGTGCGAAGTAACGGCGAATTGAACATTGTAATATCTATAATGTAGTATGTACCTTATAGTAGAGGAGCCCACGATGCTAAATAGGGATTGTCTGATCGGCTGCCCTGGACGTTCGGAACTATTTAAAGGGCTTAGGTATGGTAGGAATACTTCACAAGATGCAAGATTGCTCCCCTTTTGTTAATCTGCCGGGCTCGAATAAATCCCTAAATCCCCGCTTTGGCTCCCCTACTATTAGTAATTATCTTTTCATCCCACCACCTCGGAAAGTGTAATTTTGCGCTTCGAAATCTGGCTGGAAAATTCTATTTTATTCGCTTGAGCGGCAAAGTAGATTTGAATTTAGAACATCACATATAATGAGTACTCAATATAATTGTAAATTCAAAACGTCATTAAACCTATTTAATGTAACCTCTATGGTGCCAAATTTATGATTAGAACTTTTTAAATTGTGAAAAAATTTAAATTTGGAACCTTCTTGGTTTCTTTGTTTTATTTGCGTGCTTCGCGCCATTCTAGTTTTTCACGTTTTATTGCTTAAATATTTTGTCATTATAAATTGTTTTCTTTTTCATTTTGTCATTTCCTCGCTGAGGTGGGATGAAAAGTTACGTATTGCACTCGAGTGGAAAGATTTTTCACCTTGTGCTCGTTTGTTTCCCTCGCTGACGCTCAGGATTCTAATTTAGAATCACTCGCTGCGCTCGTGATTCAACTTTAGAATCCTTCGCTTGCTCGGTCATCCAAATCGAGCACGCGGTTAAAAAGGAACTTTCCACTCTTGTATAATAAATAACTATTTTTTTCGTTTATATGTCAGTCAAACTGCCTAAATTTGAATATATCTACTGAAAATTGACGAACGGGCATAAATTTATATAAATAAGAAAATATACAAAACCCTATCTACGTTTTATCGATATAAGTATAATAAGAAGTTTTCATGACTACCCACAATTGTTAATTCTCAGTGGGATTTCAACCAGCGATAGGTATATTTTCTGCGTTTCCTTGTCTACGGAATGTAATAAACAGAACTTTTTGTATATAGGTATGGCAAATAAAGTTGCCTGTAACAAATAACTGATAAAGTACCACGTTTGTTTGGTACTACGAACACTTGTTTTATTTTATTTAATAATAAGGCCTAAACGAAACTGAATTGACACATAAATTCAAGTAATGCAAATGGGAGTTCTTGTAATAATCAATTGATAGGATCATCATACTTGCTCATCTTTAGTTCTTAAAACATTATTTAAGTAGAACCCTAGTCCTAAGAATGTCACAAAATAATATTTATTTTCTAAAGTTGTACTAATTTTAGTCTTAGTTAAACCTTATTACCTTTACTCAGAGGCGGTTATTCAATTCTCAGTTAAACCCATTACGTATCCGATTCACTGAAACTGCATTTAATGGCGGTATATAATATAAAAAAAACATTTATGAGTTGTATTTGTGAATTGAAAATCATCCTCCTATTTTTGCCAAAGGAATAAATATTTCGTCAGACATAATACATTGTTGTAATTAGTATAATTTTATGCTGTTACTGTGCAAAAGAACAAGACAGTTAAAAGAATCTCCACATTTTTTTAATTAAGTCTCAACAGTTAAAAGCTTTAACAGACCAATGAAACATTGGACTGGAAATTTACCCAATTTCTTAAAATCTGAGTAAATACTAAGTGTCATACAGTCTCTTTTAATAAATGTTCTAATTTGATAACGAAACCATAAAGTACCTAATTTTAATAGCACTTAAGTTTATCTTTGTTATTTTATAAATAGACTCACTTTTTTATAACCCTGATGCATTATATTTCGGCAGCTTTTCAACAATTTCAAATCATCCGTCCTCACTAACTAATATTTTATCAAATACTCAAAAGGCGTGCTGAAGAGAAGCGATTAAGCTTTGACTTGATGATACAAATTAAGGAATACTTATTTTTTTAGTATACTACTTTAACAAGATTTATGAAATTTACTATTCATGTCCAACGATATTAATAACCCTAGATACATCACGAACAAAATCCTAACCGAAACTTGTCCAAAGGTACATTGGATGATCTACGAAATTCCGTGGCATGATCGCATAGCCAAAAACAATATAAGGCATTATTTTAACATACAAAGTCAACATACAGTGACAAAAACAACGAAACGAAAAATAGTACTAATATTTTTCGCCATTATCTGCGGCATCGGCATATTCACATTTCAACAGTCCGACAGTGTCTTGATTGGAACACATTTTGAGCACTTGTGGTGTATGTAGGGGTTAAAATCGTTGTTTAAGTCTCGTCATATGTTAAGAATTAATGAACGCCTAAGTTGTCATAAAATAAATTTAATAATATATTTTGAAAACTTTACAAAGCCTACGATTTTATTTGAAAGCTAACTTGCTTCTTAAGTACGCCACCAAAATTTTTCATACTTTGATGCTTTACTTAATCAAGTTCATGTGAATTAAAATCTTATGTTTTATATTTACAATAAAATTTATGTTATGAAAAATATACACACATCACTAAAATTACAATGCAATATTGCGAGTTTTATTTATTAAAAGTTTAAAACAATAAATTGTTTCATTCAGTTATTTTATTTACCAATCCTATCCCCACAATAAGCATGAATAGGGAATACATCCTGGCAGGTGTTAATTGGGGGGGACCACCGCCCACATAGAGGGTCCTACTCTCTTATAGTACATCAGTTATACATTGACTGATTTTTTCAAAAAGTACAATTTCACACAGTAAGGCGTTTAGCAGACGACGGGGCGGGGCAGGCCGGTCAATTTCGCCGCGAAAAATAGCACAAAGTGAATCCTATACTTCAAACGCACACAGAGGGCAAAAAGACCGCGCCGCAGGTGCCCGGCCATAGAGTACATTATATACTGCCCGGCGGGCAGTGGCGGCGCGGCATGTCTGCGGCTGCCCGCCGTGGATCAAACAAACCAGTTTATATGCAGTAAGGCAGACGGCGGCGCGGGACGGTCAGCTCAGTCCGCGCCACGCGCTTTTTAGTGATGGACTATTCACTGGAACGAACGTACTGAACTGACCGCCTCTGCCCGTCGTGTGCTTGGTGTACGCGGCGCGGGCAGCTGCAGACATCGACGGGCAGACGCGGTCTTTATTGCTTCGCGGACAAAATGCCCGCCCCGCCCCGTCGTCTGCTCAACGCCTAAAATGATTAGTAATTTATAATCGATTTTCCGATCTCTCCCACGATAGAGAATCGCCGTATATATATTTTTTTTTGGATTTTAGTTAAAAAGAGTTGGACTTCATAAATATAGACGAAGCGTAAGGGCGCTTGTTGACGACCGCCGGTTTTTCGCTGGGTCTAGGCACTGTTTTGAAACGCGCATATACCCGGGTAGAAATAGCCTCGTTAACATGCACCCTTCCTAACAAACTAAGCTCATTCTTATTTATTACGTTACATGCCTTAATCCAAATATTTTATAAGTTAGCGAGTGCCAATTGTCATTGTCAAATTTTGTATGGAAACTTGCAACAGCAGCGCCACAAAGGATGAAACTAGAACCAAAAATCTATAGATAGGGTCGACAAATGACTCCATTCCACCTGATGTTAAGTGACGGTATAGTCCAAACGCGAAGATAGCTGATACAGCAGTTCTACCTGCCACGCCAGCCACCCTCACCCTGCCGACCTGCCTGTTGCTTCTTTGCGCCTCTTTTAAAGGGTCTCAGGTTGTAAGAGGGAGAGATCATGATTCGTCGTCCCTGCGCTAGTATAAAGGTCAAGAAGTGGTACTCGGTAAGGAAACTGCAAGGCCGGTTTGGAGATAGACATGGAATAAGTGACCAAAATTTATAAGTTCTAACCTTTTGGATAGGGAATTGCTGCAACCGAGAAAAATACAGCACAAGCTAAACGCAAGGATGAAATGGAAAAAAATAAAACGCATTTTGTTATTTTTAATGGAATTTAAAATTTATTAAACCTACCTATCTAGTAATAATTATAATCTTCACATCTGTTACATGTTTGTATCACATGGATTTGAAAATTATTTTGTTATATAAAATACCTACTATGATATTAAAAGCTTGAATGCATATTTTGTAGTAATATAATATATAAATTGAAAACATAATTCATTTGATCTTCTCGAGCGACTGTAGGCGCACAATTGGTTTTCTACTACAATATTATCTATTTCTAATTTAACAATAATAATTTGAAAAAATTTGTTGGACCTACCTACCTAAGGTTTAAATAATTGAAAAATAATAATAATTAAAATATTTAAAAAGAGGAGTTGTTATTTATTATGCATGTGCTAAAAACATGAAAGCTTTAAAACAAAATTGGTCCTAAGTAAATTATCTAACGTAAAATGCAAACTGCAAAAATGGATTATAAATGTTGATTAAAATGATTGCGATGATACGAAATAAGGTAAATCAACAACAAGAACCACACGACGCCAGTCACCACATCTGCATTCTGTGCATGCGTAACCCAACATTCGCAGCACTGGTACCAGTTACTCAACTGAACAAATATGCAGATAACGCAATAATTATATAAATAAGCGTTCAATAAAATCTGTAATATTATTTTCGCATCGATTTACCGAGTAGGTATAGGTAGCGGCAAACTTCTTGCGCAAAAACCAAACTGGACTGATTAACTTGCGCAGTAACTTTTTTGTATGTAAAACTTACATTAAAAAAGTAAGATACGGTACGCTCATACAAGCATAAAATAAAATATGCTCCTACTCAACTACATAAGCAACTCGCACGCACACTTCTGTAAAAAAACATTCAATCGAGCGAGCGAAACAGAACTGTACGCTTCAACGCAGCGCGAGCGAAACGGAGAGTCAGCGTTCTCTTTTCTCTCTTTACAAACGGCCGAGCTGTATTGTTGTGTGTTGAATAAGTAAATAACATTCATGATAAAAACCGTGATTTTTTGAGAAAAAAAAGTTTTTATGTTTTACGAATTTTTGTTATTTCATCTTGAACTATTTGTGTTCTTTATAAAAGCAACGAAGGCATTGTTTTATCTTTATAACACAGAATCTCCGCATTATTGTTATATTGAGTCCACATGCATCGTGTTTGGGTGTCCAATTGTGACTAAAGCGAATTGTGGTCATGCACCACAATGTAAGCGGTACACTTTTGAGCCGCGAGTGGCGTATCTTCCATTTTTGTTTCAATCTAAGATTTAAAATTGCTACTGCGCAGGCTTCCTTGTCTATGGTCGATGCTCAAGAAGTTTGCCGGGCTGTAAAACTATGATCACCACACAATTCAAACTGATTGACCAGTAACTGAGCCGGTGTCACATGCGGAATTACCCACCGACCATATAATCAGTGTTTACAGTCATAATACGGTACATGGGAATCTTTTTTTATATTTTACCAACGAAACTACACTCTCCATGTGATAAAGACTCTATATAAAAATAAATATGTCTCTAATACACTTCTAAATTTAAAACGTTAGAAACACTATAATTATAGCAAGCTACTCTATCATAATGATTATGCAATGACTACACAATACATGTTGTATGCGTTTGCTTTTTGAGACTACATTCCGATTTTGTGACAATTTTGGAACTTTAGAGAAACTGTTCTGATTATTACCAATTCCGATTGAATCTATTGTAGAAATGACTGTAAGACCAACGAACATACTATTTAATCGTCGCTGGGCACTTTCAGAGTTGATTCATTATGATCAGACATTTGGCAAATATTAAAAATTTCACAAGACAAGCATATCTAAATAACCTTACAATCCTAACACAAAATGTGCCGTGTTGCCTTCGTAATAAGCGACCTAATCGTCCAGCTAAAACTCCACTGTCCCCAAACAACGGGCGGATGGTTGCCACGAGTCTCTTCTGCCTTTAATTTTGTACTGCGTCACCATGACCACTTTGCCATTTATTTTATTGAATAAAAATATAATAAATAATTTAAATTAATTACACGATCGAATTAAAGTCTTTGTAATAATACCGCATGTTTAACAGTCTGTCCTAAAAAATGCTTTGAACGTATGCTGTACCTTATGTAACATATGTCACCTAAAATATATATTTGAACACATTTATCTTGCATCGCATGACGTCAGTTTCACCGTTTCCACCCGTTCGTTACCCCAGAAAGTGGTTCCTGTCAATAATGTCACCCTCCCCCCGTTTACTGTCACAGGCACTAAGAGATTGAAACTGAACGTAAAGTAGTTTGAACACCCTGGGTTCCTTACAAAGACAGAGGTTGCTTGGACTAATCTCCCAAACTGTGGCGTTGGTGGATATTGCTATTGGTTACGATACACGTTGCAACTACGCACTTAAAATAATGTCCATTACAATTTGAAAACACTACTTAAAACTATGTTATATATCTAAGTTAAATTTGTTATTACTATTATCATTAAATACAGATACAAAAACTTTCCAAGATTTTTTTCAAAATATATATAAATATATTATGTACTTCAAAATTTATAGTAGTAAAATCGAAATAAATCTTTGTATAAAAATGCGATTCGTATTATATAGAAAAATGATCCGCGTTGCATAGTCTGTACGATATCCAAAATATATTGACCCAAAAGATGGTATCTTGAGAAGAAATCAAAGAAAAAAAATAGTAGAACTCGTTCACAATCACATACTGTCAGCAACAGCTAAACTTCAAGATTGAAGTGGCATATTGATTTACTACCAAACATGTGGATACTCACAATATTATATAATAACTTGTTATACTCATTCGAAAATGCATATTAATATTCAATTATATAGTCCAGACAAATTTTATGTTTCATATCATCTCATAAATAAGTAATGTTCCTCCAGTACATATTCCGAACTAAATGCAATTCCATTTCCAATGAAAATATTGTACCTTCACCACATTCTAATTCTAACGATAAATTGGGAATGTTAATTATCATTATTTATCATTCTTATATTTATAAAAAACAACTCGACCAGTACCTTCGTTTGCATCAATCGAAACAATAGTTACCTTCAAATTACTTTGCTCTGTTTTCTTTCAATTGAATTAAACGGCTAAGATGCAAAATCCCCAAATGGGGGACAATACACAATCCAGAACCTGAACATTTATTGCTTAGAATATTACTCGATATAATATTGGTCCTTATAGTATCTAGCTGAGCATTGAAAATTAAAAGTTGTGCTTTCTAAAACAATTGAAGGAAGCTTATGTGTCACACTAGTACTAAGTATATAATTTGTTATATTAAAAAATGTAAAAAACGTAACAATAACAACTTCTGATTCAAGTTTGTATGATTATTATAATTAGTAAATCTAACCTGAACATACATGCAAATTCTGTTTGAATATTCAATATAAAACTAAATCTACTTTAATCATAGAGCTAATGATATTATCATGTTGGCCATGCTTCCACCAATATCGGAGAATTACTAATAATAAATAATTACTTACTCATTTATTTTATGCCGAAAATATATCCGAAATACATTTGTTACAATTACAATCTCAAAGCTCGGATCATCGGTGCCAGCATGACCAGTTTTTTGTAATTGTGTTCACGAATATAACCTCATAAAAGTCATAAAATACCTATTACTTTTTACGTTTATACATAAGTAAAAGCAACGAGTCCACTAGTACATGAATACTATATAAACGAGTTAACATCAAAAGCATAATATTCACTCTCGTTATACTATCATTATAACTCCTACATAGTGTAAACCATGCACTAAATATATTTGTTTAAGAAAAATAGTGTTTAGATATATTTCTGTAGTCATCTGTAACATCAGTACTGAATGATCGTATTTCGATTGTAACTTTGGTGTCATAATGTATTTCTATTCATAATAATGTTATAGGTAAATCATATCTTCTACTAGTCTTATTTAAATAAGCTTTTAAATTCCGTTTCACAAATCTGTAAACATGTTTAGTTTAATTCATATCAAGTCTGTATAAGATGCACAAATTTAACTATTTGAAAAAATCTGAAAACAGGCGACTATCATTTCAGTCGACACGTTCCTAAACTATACAGCATATGGAACGGTACCTCTACCCTACGGTAATTTTTTTTATTGCTGAGGCAGTCAATTAGAAAAATCCTAAATTTCGTCACAATCATTTAAGGAGAACAAATCTCTCATTCGCTTCAAAATAAAACGAGTCGTCGCAGATCGCGACGTTAGTTACAAACGTGTAAACAGTGATGGGGTATAGAGAGCGGGCGGGTCTCCGCCTACTGGTGGTGCTGCACGGGCGTCTGGCAGTAGGGGCACTCCTTGGCGGTGGCGGCGCACGCGTCGCACAGCACGTAGTGGTTGCAGGGCGGCAGCGTCACCGAGCGCGGCTGCTGCTCGCACACCATGCACTTGGTGGCCGTCTCCAGGTACAGCACCTTCTCGATCTCCTCCAGATCCGCGCGCGCCTGCGCCTGCAGCGCCTTCAGCGCCGTCAGCGGCAGCCCGCGCAGCTCGCGCCGTCCCCCGCTTGCGGTGCTGACGGGCGCGGTCGGTCCGCGCGCCGAGTCCAGCTCGCGCCGCAGCGTCATGGCGTGCGCGAGCGCCTCGTCCCGCTGCCGCTCGGCGAGCGCGGCCTTGCGCTGCGCCTCGTCGGACTCGCGCTGCCACGCCTCGCACGCGGAGCGCGCCTGCGCGATGCGCTCGTCCCAGCGGGCCGCGGCGGCGCGCGACGCGACCACCTCCTCGCGCAGGCGCGACAGCTCCGCGGGCGCCGACGGCGACGACGCCGCAAAGTCGAACGGACCCGCGCCGCCCGCGCCGAAGCTGCCCGCCTTCATCGCGTGCGAGTTGAACAGCCGCTCGGTGTCGTTCTGCGCGTACCGCAGGAAGGGCGGCAGCGGCGAGCCGGCGGCTGGCGGGCTGAAGCCGCGCAGGGCGCCGCGCGCCTGCGGGATGTTGACCGGGGCCGAGCCGCCGAGCAGCCCCTCGCCGTCGGACAGGTCGCGGTCGAGCGCCGCGACCAGGTTGAGCGGGTCCTCGAGGTGCATGTCGTCGAGCGCGTTCCCGACCACCTCCTGCAGCACGGTGGCGTCGAACGTGGAGGCGCGCGCCCACGGGGACGGCTGCGGCGCCGGCTTGCGCTCCTCGTGCTCCGCGTAGGGCGTGAGCGGCCCGAGCGCGCGGGGCAGGGCGTGCCCGTGGGGCTGCGTAGCCGCGACGGGCCCGGCCGCCGCGGCGCTGGAGCCCCCGCTGGAGGTGGAGGCGCACTCGGAGCCGTCGCCGGAGCCGTTGGCGTGCAGGTGCGACGTCGCGGTGGGGGGCGGGGGAGACAGCGTCCGCACCCGCTCCAGGTTGAGTGCGCTACTGAGCATGCTCACGCTGTTGTCCGCCTTCTTGTCGGGCGGCAGCGCGGACGATAACAGATCTGCTAGGTTGGTGCCGCATTCTAGAGGTGCGGCGAGCTCGCGGGCGGCGGTCAAGTCTTCGGCTGCAACAAAAATCGACAATTTATATACATATATTTTTTTAACAGCTCATTATTTATTTTTCCTGATACATGAAGCTCACTCACGTTCTACGTGTGCGAAGGCGCAAAAGAGTCCGCGGGGGCAATACCCGGCCTGTTGCACGTCGTTGCATTTGGTGGACTTGTATATTTCAGGATGAAATTGTTGTTCAGTACGAGTATGACAGTAGCCGCACGCGTCGCCGGCTTCACAATTGCTAGGCTCCCCCCACTCTTCCCCGTGCTTTACGTTTGGACATGGTGTGCTACGATATTTATATTTTCTTGGAGATCTACGCTTATCCTGTAAAATAAAGTAAAGAAATTGTTATAATAAAATGTGACTCAAAATCCAAAAGTGGTTAAAGCAAAGTCAGAAACTAAGGAGTCATTACTGTGAGGTAGTACTTTACTCACTTTACTATTGTGATATTGTGGGCAAGCATACCCTTGTCTACATAACCTTGGTGGTCTTTTACATGGTTCTGTTTTATATGATGAAAGCACATAATTTGTATCTGCAACGAAAATAAATTTTAGCATCATAATCCAATACTTGTTTTATTTTAAAGGATAATAAAGCAATATGCAATACCTTGCCACTTTGGGTCTTCATTCATTAAATTGCGTTCCCTATCTAAAGCATTCGGTGCAGCGGCATCCCCGTCTGCACCGTCCGGATTCTCCAGCGCTTGGAGCTCCCTCATGTCGAGCACCGGAGGCCGCAGATCCGGCGCGCCGTGTGCGAAGGCGCAGTGTGCCCCATTTTTAGTACAAAGTCCCCTAGCGTCCGTATCGTGGACGCACATACAAGTCTTATAGTAGCGGAGGTGGTACCTTCGCTCCGTATCACCTGCGGTGCGGTGAAGGTATGGACAACTAGAACACATAAAGTAAACAGGAATATGAATCAGGGCACAAGTTTTGCTTAACATTGATAAGTTTATTCAGGTAATAGTGTGTGTTTCCACAACAGTAACTGTCTTCTAGCAATATAGTTGTAGTTTTTACTCTTATAAAAATTGTAATATATGACACCTATTTGCCACTTTTTTTTAAATATAAACAAACCTCATAATTTCAACATTATGTTAATGATGTTTACATCATTTTGACTTGTACTGTTTCTTTACCACCAAAGAGACACAAGATTCTATTTCTGGATTACGTTTGTGATGTGGCCAAAAACATGCCTGTTAAATGAGCAAGGCAAATGTGTAGCGAAAGGTCCCTGAGCAGCACCATAAAAATTTCACTATGCAAATCCCTTTTGCGACAGTTGGATACATAGTAGGTTTGCATGAGTCGATTATGAAATTGATTTATTGCCAAATCAGATGTGATTTTCACACAAATTAAGGTAGGATTTTTATTATTTTCATAAATTCATATATCAAAAACTAAGTGTTTCTAAGTTGGAGAGGGTAAACTTCTCTCTTCCCACCATTTTGAAAATCAGAGGATAATGTTGTATATCACTTATATATTATGTATGCTTAGATCTTCAGCTTCTAAAAACAGTTCCTTTTAAAGTTCCAACAGGCTCTTGGTGTTAATTGAGTAACAGATATTAATGGAGTTTTCAAAATAATTTGTGGCATATGAAAGGGATAGCACAATGACGAATTGCTTATTAAATTTTAAATAGAGAAGGTATTCAGCTAATTTTAAAGGTAGGAGACTTGGAAGTGTTCACATCACTGAAATATCATATGAGATTTGATAAACAGATACAAAATAATAATTTTTAATTTGAGGGTGAACATTTATTTAGATGTGTCACAAAGAATAAATGTAACAGGAAAGTTAATTGAGAACTGTAAGTACCTATGTATGAAGAAATGTCACCCCAAGTATTGCAGTAAATTTATGGTATTAAAAAGAATATTCAAACATTTATACATTTTGTGATGAGAGTACCAGCAGTAAAGCAAGCTATTCAGAAATATTAGATCAACTTCCCATACAATGACAAGATGAAATTAGGCAGTACTTAAATTCTGAGAAATTACACTAATTATTTATGAAAATAATGAGTAAACAAATATTACTTTTACTTGTTACTTACCACTTGATAAAACAATGGTCTATTTACGGTGTCATATGAAGCCAACTTTCAAAGTATGTTTTTGTAGTAAATTTCAACTAGTTTGTCATACATCCCAAATTTGGTCGGGTTTGAATAACAACTAAGTACTAGCATAGTAAACCTACTTTAGGCGGGTAAACTTCTAATAAGACTATAATTAATAAAACGAAAGCAACCTAATAAGAATGATGCTGTAAAAGCGAACTAACATCACCATCCGTACTATCTAAATGCCGCGACAACGTAATGAAAACAAAGCAATGACAGGTAGGAACAGAGGAACTTACTCGTCTCCGTCTTCACAAATTCCTGAAGTCTCATTATATTTGGTACAATAATTATCTGCGCTATAATTGAAAGTCCCATCTCTCTTCCTTACTGGTCTACGTCTTCTTTGATTATTAAAATGCCAATGAAAACAAGTAAAAGGTCTATGTTGTGTACACTTATGCTGTAGGAACGATGGACACTGCTCTACTCGAAATTCCTTGAGATATCTGCAATACAAGAACCCCATTCTGAATAAAAACACAACAAACTCTTATTCACTTCGTAAAAACCCGGTCATAAGATGAACAATTACTTGTAATGATTAGGTTTTTCTGTTTGAGCTGCCAACAAAGGCTTAGATTCCGACGGCATTTTGGAATACTATTATTGCGCTTCTTGCGTCGCGCAGGGCACGCTCAACGTCGACCAATTAAAATTCAATATACCTATGATCACGTGATTCAAAATATTTTAAAAAGGTAAAAAATGTAAATAACTTCCAAATAATAAATAGAGTCCCGTAAATACACGCCACATTTTAGATAAAAATGACCTTGAACTTAAAATAATCATTTCGCGACTCCATCGAGTTGATGACACGAATAGAAAATATTTAATTACTTTGCTTGCTTTGCTAACATTGACAGCTATGTCACGTAGTTGTTTTCTATCTTTCTCTTTCTCCATCGCGCTAATCATTAATGAATGAGTGAGATACAAAAGTGGGACACTAGAATGGACATTTCTTTTTTTTGTTCGGCCCATAGACGTACTAAAAAATACAAACCTTCCAAACTACTATACCTACCTACCATAAATATTTTTGTTTTACTTTGCTGTTATTTTTTAAGAGATTTTAGTAATGATTATGTTAAGTTTAATTTTGACTGTTTTTGATATTTTTCTTTGTTTAGTAATTATATAATCTATTTAACAGGAGTAAGAAACTACTAGAAGGGCTATGAATAAAATAAAACTAAATTAAGTATAATATTATGGTAAAATACCTTTTTACATGGAAATCAAGAAAAAGCCTAACTAATAATTAAGCCAGAAACATATTAACGTGTGGTGTGGTGTCGTGGCACGCCAGAAGCACATGGGTTTCTTACATTTGCTATGGTTAGAGAAATATTTACGTGTCGTGTCGTTTCGACGCTCTAACGTCTCTCTCTCTCTAACCTAAAATAATAGATGTAAATGAAACCGATGCTTCACGATAAGCCACGACACCTTAATATGGTTCTGGCCTTAAATATTAATTTTGCTGTTTTCATATCTGGAACAGAAGCTTTAGTATATTAAAGTATGGTAACACTGAATTTTCAGTCAACCAATAGCACAAGCTTTTAAACTAAATTTTAATATGAACCAATAGCAGGATCTACATTTTCGACCAATAATATGCAAGGCATTTCACCAATCATCGCTAAGGATTCTGGCGTCAGTGCTCGCCCGCCATTCTCTTCGACGCCATCTTGAGCATATGATCGTTGTTGTGTATCTCTTGTGTGAATTAATTTCATAAAATTTGAGTAATTTTGGACAAAACAGCTCTGACAAGTACGTATTATCATTTATCAAACTTTATTTAACATTTTGGTATAATTTTCAAAATAATTTCTTAGCGATATTCGTTAAAATGTAAATGGGTTCGCTGAGTGTCGCAATAATTACATTCCATGGCTATATCAACATTATAAATGTCTTTGATTTCAGTTAAAAATGGCACGTACGAAACAGACTGCTCGTAAATCCACGGGAGGTAAAGCCCCTCGTAAACAATTGGCAACTAAAGCTGCCCGTAAATCTGCACCAAGCACTGGTGGAGTTAAGAAGCCCCATCGTTATCGTCCTGGTACAGTCGCTCTGAGAGAAATCCGTCGTTACCAAAAGTCAACGGAGTTGCTTATTCGCAAGCTGCCTTTCCAGCGATTGGTGAGAGAAATTGCTCAAGATTTCAAGACTGATTTGCGTTTCCAGTCCGCCGCTATTGGTGCCCTGCAGGTAAGCTCACATCATACAAAGTTAATTTGTAACAATGAATAACCTTAAAAATATTTATTCATTAAATACCATGTATTCTTTATTTTAGGAGGCAAGTGAAGCTTACTTGGTGGGTCTGTTCGAAGATACCAACTTGTGCGCCATCCACGCTAAGCGTGTAACCATCATGCCTAAAGACATTCAGCTTGCTCGGCGAATCCGTGGCGAGCGTGCTTAACTTTATAAATTAGTTTATAAATTAATGATAAAATTAATCCATAATTTTTTTATAATGTCTCGTTTTCCTCATCGTAACACTGTAATCATTATTGTAAGGAGGCAGCAGAACTGAATTTTTTTTATAAATATTTTCTTAACATAAGTACGCTGTGCATTTGCATAGGATACTTTAAGTTAATATTGACCTGTTTCAACTTGGTTATTAATTGACAATGTCACTTGTATTAACTGAGTGTCCCCTGTAAGGACATAAGCCTTTATTTTAGGAATTTGTGGTATGTTCTGTCTAGGTAGTGTATTAGGCAAATTTTGTCGACCACATGTCTGTGTGAGTATTCTATGCTAGAAGTAATTGGATGCACTTAAATGATGTGTAATGAAAATTGGTGTTTAAATAAATGATTAGATCTAAGCTATTTCAATGTTTTATTTAACCCATTATATGTTCTATTCAGCCTATATTCAGGATACTCTGTGGTACACCATCACCTCCAGAGGAAATGAGTTGTTTTTGGTATATTATTCAATCGACTCCTGGTATTGTAATGTGCAAACCTTGCTTAACAATATGAACAGGTGATACATGTAGTTACTGTTTCATTGAATAGCTTTATCCTTAGTGTTAAATGAGTTTCTTGCCGGTTCTTCTCAGTACAAGGTCTCCCGCCGTAGATTTGCGAACCGATGGCGTAGCTTTTCGACATTCACAAGTGCTTGTAACAGCCTAGACTGAATAAACGATATTGAATTTTTGAATTTTAAATCTTTTAGATATTAATATCCTATTATGACTCACTGGGAGCAGTAACAGAAAATGGTTAAGTTGTGCGTGGCACTTGTGAGATTGAGTAGTCAAGTAGGTGGGAACATAAATTTCGCTATGCAGTGCTACGGTGGCCGGAGGCTGCTGTAGTATTTGCCTGCCTTAAAATGTCATCACGTGTGGTGTTCCTCTATCTGTTATTGCAACAGTGTGGTTGAGAGCATTAGTATTGATCAAACTTAATTGACTAAATCTAAAGAAAATTTTACTACAGAAAGTTCAGGCAGCAGACTGAACTCGAACCTGCACCTTTGCCTTAACTTTAATTTTGTAATTACATCTTTGAGCATGGTTGTCCTTCTCTCCTGCTACATTTAATATAAATTTATGTTATTTACTCAAATACGCAAAAACAACTGAACAGATTTGAATGAAATTTGGCAGTTATTTATTATTTAGATTGAGACATTTTATCCCTGAAAAATAAAATACAAGGTTCTAGTAAGATACTCAAAAGCTAACATGGGTGGAAGCCAGTTTCTATTAAATAATTTCCATTGGGTGTACACAGGAGATAATCGATTCTGTGGATGGGTGATAGGGAGGATAATAAAAAAGATTCCTATGGCTATACAAACATTGGTTTTATTTCTTATCTATAATTAAACAGTTTTTTTGATACTGAAGGCTTTATACATCTATTTTAGGTAATGTGCATTGAAATTAAGAGATCTCTCACTACTGGAGATGGTGATCCCGGCCTGCTTCAACAGTGGGAACTTTTGATTGGAGTTATTTTAGATAAAGGTCCATACAGTCACAGAATAATTTATATCATTAATATATTTTAACATCCAAACTACAAGATTATGAAATTTAATAATCCAAATTAAGATCTTTATTATCAAAATAATATTTTTCCAGAATGAGATAAAATTTCAGTTATCAAGCTGTATCTGAATTCTTATGGGAATCGAAATAGTTTGTTTGCCTATAAAGGAAAGGTTAATAATTATAACTCTGATAAATAAAATAATTACTTGTTACTATTTTAAAACAACTACAATCAAATGCCTAGTAACAATGTAAATCTTAATCTATGCAACAATTTTCTGCTCTTGTGCTTCCAATTCCTTTAGTCGTTGTTCTATAGCTTCCACACTTTTGCCTTGTTCTTTATTGAATTTATAAGATTGTATGAGCTGTTCTTTCTCTAAACCTTTAATTCTATCATATAAGGTTTTATCAAATTCTTGGTCTATATCACTTTCTTCTCTCAATATACAAAAATATATTAAAAATACTGCTACACTAGTGACAACTGAGAACGGTTGATACCATGGCACAGGATTAGGTCCTGGAGCCCTGATAACTGGGATTGCAGTTTTCCGTGAAGCTGGACTATCTGTGAACTTAATAGGCTGGTTTTCATTTTGCTCTAATTTACTACTAAACCATCTGGTGCTTCTGCTTGCTCTGCAAAAGGTACTGAAACAAAAAAAAACTGGTTACCTCTTTTTGATGACACACCATGCTGATTTAGTTAATTGACTCATCACTGAATCATTAAAAAACAAATGACTATTCCTCTGGCCTTACAAAGTTGTTGCACAATAATACTTAAATTATTTTTAAATTTACGTATGCCGCAAATCATTTTTAGGGCTCATTGAAATACGGCAATAGGACAGAAAAATTACATGAAACTAGCAATGTGTGTTATCACAGAATCAGTATTATTAATTTGTAAAAGATGTTACACCTACCTAAGTCTAAACACATTCTTAATCATATTGCCAATTTAAATAATTACTGGTGTGTCAACAAATACTACATAATAAAATCATCAAATTTATACTTCTTTTGCAAAGCAAGAATGACAGAAATTACAATGACATTGACATGAGCATGCAGTATTACCAACATTGATGTTATTGGTCTCAGGCTACCAACTCTGAGAAATATATAATGGTCTCGATTCTGACATGATTCTTTAAACCTAAACTTGACAAATGTATCCTTGTCAGTTGTCAGTCTCTACAAAATGAAAAGGTGAGACTGGTGTTAAATTTAGAGTCCTAAGCCTTAAGCTAATGTAAAAAAACCCCTAAAATCGCCTTTATTACTAAGAAATACTACACAAAATATTCATTATACGGGAACCTATACTAATGTTGCCCACCCAGTGCGGATGCTCTCCGTCCATCGCAAACACTCCTGCCCCACTCCCGGTCCATCATTCACCAAACAAAATTTTAAACCAAGTTCACAACCACCGCGTCAGTGGTCGCCCAATTAGCTACCCGTATCAGCTGCCTAGCGAGTTAATTTGTAACGATGTGCATTATGAAAGTACTTAATAACAATAAGTTTTAATAATTTAATCTAAATATTCTTAAATTTCAACGTAAACTGCGTCAAAGGTTAAAATTGAAGAATATTTAGATTACATTTTTAAAACTTATTGTTATTAAGGCCTATATTGACACACAACAATATAGCCTAGCTAGCTGCCTCGATAGGTTCTGATGGAGAAGTTTCTCCTCACCCCATCTGTGCAGAATGGTCCCAGTCCGTAATGGGCCCAGTGCGGACGCTCCCGATTCATCGCACGCACTCCTGGTCTCCACTCCCGGTCTATCACTCAACAAACAAAATTTTAAACTAAGTCCACAACCACCGCCATTAGTGGTCGCCTACCTCGCTACCCATTAGCTATCCGCCCAGCTACCTAGCTAGTTGCCTAGCTAGCAGCCTAGCCAGTTTCTTAACTAGCTGGCTAGCTAGTTACCTAGATAGCCTCCTTGCTAGGTAGTGACAGAAAATTTGAAAAGATTTACTTGCATAGTGTGCGCTTTTCTACATTTTTGGCTCATAACATGTAGGACGTGTCGGATCCTCAGTGTGCGAAAAAAGAAAAAAAAACAATCTTGAGGGATCGTCTGCACAGGCCATTATACATATCTAAGTGTCTTGGGTCTTAAATTAAGGTAAATTTAATGGAATTAAAAATATCCAGAGGGCCGCAATCACTGATTTACATGGGGGCCAGTTAATGTACCTCGAGGGCCAAACCTGAACTCGCTGGCTTGTAGCTTATAAACTCGCCCCGTGTCATCGAGGCTTTTTTGAACTTATTTTTCATGTGAGTAAAGTTTAAAAACGATTATGATATCTTAACATGTAACAAAAATAAATTAGAAATACATATTTAACATTCATTGTACAAATGCTCGAATTCATCACACAAACATCTGCTCTCACCGAGAATCGAACCCAGGACACTCGGCCACGGAGGTCGTCTGTATGATACCACGGCCGTCATCGTCAGTATGATATGAAAGACCCTTACCTTTTTAAGAGTCGAGTATAAAATTATTTGTTCAGACTAGCCACCATATCCAAAGAATACTGTAGAGCGTTTTTTATCCTGATAAAAAAAAATAAAACTATATTTGCTATTTCTCCTTTCAAATGTTGCGCTGTCTTGCAGCCTTACAAAGGCTGGAGAAAGTTCGACACGACCATCAGGGTTGTGGTACCATAATGGTCAGTGCATTCGCCCGGATATCGAGGGTGCGGGTTCGGGTCCTGTCTACTGCCTGGCCCGCGTTGATTTTTTTCTAGTAAAATTTTCTGAAGTAGTTTCAGTTTTCCAAAATTCATGATCACTATTATCAAATTAAGTTTAATGTTTAAAAAACAGGTAAGAATCTGACCCATTATTAATTTAGCTATTACGTCGTTTCACGCACAGAGCATTTATACTAAGCTCTAAGCTTCATGTAGACAAGTAGGTATTGATTAAGCCGTATAAACATTAATGGTGTAGCGGCGCAGCGTCCACCAGGAGAACCATGGCAAATATACTGAGAAGTTAATAATTTATGTTAAACCATAATTTCTATATCATATAAGTAGGGGGGGCGTCCATAAATTACGTGAGATGTTTAAGGGGGAGAGGGGGTCGAGTCAAATCTCAACTAATCTTACGTTGGAGAGAGGGGGGGTCTCGGCAAATATCACGCAATTTTTTTCCGGATTAAAACAAAAAAAAACTATACTATTTTGGTACATTTAATCCAGATAATTTTATTTTAATCGTATTACGATTACGCTTAAGATTAATCTTAAGCGTAATCGTAATACGATTAAGATCATTCACTAATTCGTTCGAAAGAAAATAATTTCATTCATACTTCGACGTTATACATCTACTGACTGTCAAACCAGCATATTTGTTTTATACAAAATAGCTCAATTTAATCTGAATTTACGGTACAGTGTAGCCCGTCCTTTGTATTCGTGAGACTGTCAGCCGAACCCGGGACTCGGGGCCAAATGCACCTTCTAGGAAACTATTATGTTGCTTTCTACCATGGACTTACTATAAAAACAGTGGGTTATTTATGGTTGGAAATTCATTACCTACCTAACAAACTCATCTCCTTCCTCTGGTTCAGCTTGAAGGCGATGGCGTGTAGATAAAGCTTTACTGCGTTTTTCGATGGCATCTTTTAAACGTTCTTCATTTTTTGTTGTTATGCTTGAATTTGCTTGAGGACAAGTCTTAAATCTTTTCGTCAAACATTCAGGATGTATAGTAGGCTTTATAAGAAGAGCTCGAATATCGCATTCGTCAGATATTGTCTGTACAGCAGTACATAAGTCAGACCGCAGTTCCCAAACTTTTGCAATACCTTGGTCCTAAAATAAATATATAGCGATACACTTCTCATAGTAAGTAGCGCACTTACTATGGTAGCATTTACTACCTTTAATTAAATGAAATAAAATTGGGTATAACCATAATATATTTTGTTTTTGAAAATGAATTTAACTCCGGAAAATAAAAAATACCGAGATATACTTTTATCAAATAGTGCCTAGACGGACAGAAGAACAGAAGGTAATCGACCCGTTGCGTCAACTGTAATTCATAATGCCCTAAGTGGTAGATAATACTTCTACAAACCGAATGACTTTTTAATTCCTCTAGCTCTTTTTTACATAGTTCTACTTGAGCTAACAAGGCATCTCTTCTCGTTTTCTCTACAGCTAACTCAGCTTTCATACAATCTATTTTCTTATTCAACTGAGCGTTATCAATATTTATTTTTTGAGTTTGTTGCCTAGTTTCCTTAATAGTGTAATTGAGTGTGGCCACCGTTGCGTCATCTATAAATAGTATAAATTAATTAGATTAGTCTGAAATGACCGGTAACGATATATTTATGGAAGATTGGGTTGAACTAAGTAACTTACATTCGCGTTTTTCTTTTAATTTGTTTTCGTTGTCTTGTTCCACGAGTTTTATTTTCTCTATAGTGGAACCCACAGATTCATTCATTGTTGTTCAAAAAAAATCAATTCGTTAAATCGAATTGTAAAACTTTCTTGAGTATCGGACTCTGTAAACCACTTTGAAAAAACTTTTAGATTCCCGCCATTTTGTTGAATCTTTATTTATTAATTTTCCTGTGGAAGGCAAACGATAAACAGTTTATTCAGTCTAGTCTTTAACATTTTTTGTTCTGCTTTAGAATATGAGTATGAAGCATTTCAATACTACTGTGATATCGATATGTATGAAATGACATAATGGTGCCAATTCTGGGGTGATTCTCTAAACTTAAAACTAAATTTAACATTAGTCTCTCCTTTTCATTCTGTGTAGAGAATGACAAGGATATACTGATGTCAAATTTAAGTTTAGGTTTAGAGAATCATGCTAGAATCGACACCAATGAGTTTTGAAATAGATCACATTTGTAACTCCGCCACCTTGTCATTATCTATACCGAATAAATGGGAGAGACTGATCTTAAATTTAGTTTTAAGTTTAGAGAATAACGCCAGAATTGGCACCATTATTTGCATTTATCAATTTACGTTTTTTTCTATATTTTATTAGTTATTCTGCTATTTGAGGCGGAGAGAAATCCAAAAATCAGAACTCATTAAAATCGGTCCAGTCGTTCTTGAGTTATAAGTGTTCTAACTAACATTTTAATTTAAGAAAAAGCGTGTGCATCGCGGGACGCACGACAGAAGTGATAACGTATGCGTGAGAGGAAGGGAAGTCAGATAGACTGGCACCGTAACGAAGCGGTTAACCTCCCATAAGAAGTTATCACTTCAAAAGATTGTGCTTTATAAATAATCTGTTGATCAATAATACACTCATAAGTACTTTAACTAAACCTAAACTTAGACGACGGTGGTGTCGATTCTAGGATGATTCTCTAAACCTAAACTTAAATTTGACAGTAGTATATCCTTGTCATTATCTATACCGAATGAATAGGAGAGACTGATGTTAAATTTAGTTTTAAGTTTAGAGAATCACGCCAGAATTGGCACCAGTGTATCCTTATCATTCTCTTTACGGAATGAAAAGGAGAGACTAATTTAAATTTGGAAAATCATACCAGAATCGATACTATTGAATAACTTGTGCTATTATTAAGTATCATTGAGTGTTTGTTTGCTTATTTATTAAAGCAAATCTTGACATCCAAAATCAATTGAAAAATTGTACATCAATGAAGATTCTTCTAAAACGATACGTTATGCCGGCACTGCACTTGGCTATGCGTGTTTGCTGGCTTTGACAGATACAGACATCAAGTTTAGAAATAGCAATACGAACAACCAAGTGAAATGCCATAATTATGTCGTTAGTGGTTGCTACGGTGGTTGCCCGGGAAATAAAAAAATTACAAAGTTATTAAGGATTTATTATCAATTTATTTTCGATACTTTCGGATGGAAAAGCCCGATGCTAATGGCTTCGTTAACATCAATTGGCCAAGCAAAACAATTCCACATGGAGGAATATTCCATTCCCGTACTGCACAATCCTCTGAAGATCAACAACAATTTTTGAAAGGTACGTCAACGTGTAATGTTTAAAATTGAGGAGCTCAATAGCGCAAGTGGTTGGTTCGTTCGCTGAAGTTAAGCCACTTTTGCAGTGGTCGGTCGTTGGATGGGTGACAAAAAGTTTATTATCTCGAGTTTCTCCCTGCTTCGGAAGACACGTTAAGCCGTTGCATCTGCATTCGTTAGCACCCACAAATCTGAACTATAACATTAATAGGCTGATGATGAATGTTTAAAGTCTCTCTTTGTTCATGTAGAAAATTATCTAATTGTTTTGTAAATCTATAGGTATTCTATGCTGCCATAAGTATGGTCATGGGCAATTAATTATATTTTATGGTTCCTAGTCAACAAGGAACCCTTGTAGTTTCGCTCTGTGATGTCCGTCCATGGCATAGGTTGCTGCACGCTGTAATTTGGCATGTAGTGTACCTACCTAAGATGAAAAGTAGTGCTTTACTTAAAAACATTTTGTTTACATTAGGTACCTCCCCGATATAGGATAGGCTTTTAAAAAACAATGGGGGTTTGTTATTTTGGGTTAATGATTTTTTAAACTATATTTTTTAAAGAGTCAAGTAAGTATATAAGCAACGAATACAAAACAGTACAAGTATAATCAGCCCATTAATGTCCTCACTGCTGGGGCATAGGCCTTCCCTATGGATGAAATAGGGTGATTAGGCCATTACACACCACACGGGCCCAGTGCGGATTGGCGGGTGCTGACGACTGCAGAAGCAGTCGGGACCAACGGCCTAACGTGCCTTCCGAAGCACGGAGGAACTCGAGATAGAAGATTTTTGATCGCCCATCCAGTGACCGACTGAAAATTGCTTAACTTCAACGATCGCAGCCGAACGCGCTAACCACCTGCGCCATGAGCTCCTCATCGAGGTAAGTATAAGTTTTCTATTTGCGTTTTGTGATATACAACTAAACTAAGGAATCCTACATTGTGCGTGGGCCTTGGCCAGTGTTTATATTCAATAAAAAGCTTGATTTGGTCACCTACCTGCCTTATATTTACTTGCCTATTTTCTTTATCCAAGTAATAGGTACTTTTGAATTTGGTATTGAGGTTACCCGATCGGGGATCGACTGTGTTTGCCTTTGCTTGTTCTCTATCAGATACAAATTACTTTAGTATTATAACATAGCTATCTGTTTGTTTTTATTACTCTCACTCAATAGTTCTGTTGGAGGAATCAAAATTGACAATCGCACAGCGTAGAAAGTCCGCTTTGGCTTTACGCGAACATGAAAAAAGGACTGAAAGGCGACCACAAGTACAAACCCAATTGGTTAGACCGCGAACTTCGAGAAGACGCTCACTTTCTGAAATCAGACAATCTGGGGCTTTCGACTTGGATTCGTAAGTACACCACAAGTTAGTTTGGACTAAACTTTTAATTTCTAGATGAAACTCGTACCACGGAATAGATATTTCATGCATAAACATGTTAATCGTATTAGGATTTGATATAGCAGGATGAACTCTCTTATTTTTCTATCCACGAAAAATCAACGGTACCGTAAAAATTGTAATAAATAAGTACTCACCGACAGAAGTTAGCACTATTAAGAAATAAACCACTATGCTTATGGATCGAAATAGTTTGGTAGTAACGTTCATTAGAAACCTACTTATTTTGATATCGTTGCAGTCACAGTCTCATAGTTTCTTAGGAGTTCTACAATGTTCGAATTGGAGCGCCTTTCTTAGAGGGATGACCAGACAGGACTTACAGAAGACCATAGTATGGGACGATATATATTAATCCGTGTAGAACATAAGAAATAAAGGGTAGGTAAAAATGATTATGGTTCATTAAATATTTTTTTCAGTTATATGCCGCGAAAGCGCGGTGAGGACAGAGAGAAGATGATACAAAAATTGGCAAACCTCATGGCTTACGGAGATACACCTGAACAAGCACCTCCTAAACCTATCCGTGAATCTAAGCCAGCTCCGAAGTTACCCACAAAAAAGGAAATGTGGCATGATTGTGAGAAATTTTAAGTATTTTATTTAGCTATTTGCATTTGGATCAATTTCTACAGCGAAACTATAATATGGCTTAAATTACGTACACAAATGCTATAGTTTTATGGGTGCCACAGGTGCTTAATCTTTTCAGCATTTCAGCCAGCATCGCGTAAATGGTAGTACCCTACCTACCTACCCTTGATACTACAAAGTGTCCTTGGGCGGCACTAACCATTTACCATCAGTAGGCCTATAATTTTTACTTGTTAAGCATATAACGTCTCGATGTTTAAATCTTAAGAAAATATTACTAGAAAATCTTCTTTAAATTCATTCAAATGTTTAAAAATTGTAAAGGTATCCATTTGGCATTGTGGGTTACCTACAATGCGAAGAGATGGCGCTGTCTTTATTTCTTTCTTTCCTGGGAAAGCATCAAGGGATTTGCGATTTTTAGTTACACACTGTAAATATCAAAAAAGTTTGCCAATAAGCAGACAGGTCGACTACCAGCTCGTTTGTCTGCATAACCATTTAAAAATGACCTGCTACGACGCCTTATAGAGTTGACGAAACTATAACGTGACTTGCGGGTATTTAATATCGTTGCTTGCTGCACAAAAACTTTGGGAGAACTTTGTGTGGTTGCCTATGGTTTTTAGCTACAGTACGGCCCCTGAAAGGATGCGTTCTTAGTAGATTGTAACAGTTTTAATAAGCTAAACAAGAGCTAAAAAAATAAGCTCTCAATGAGTTTCACTGAGAGCAGTAATAGTTAGACCAGATAGAATCTAGTATTAGATTAAGATGTTTGACTTAGTTTTCTAAGAAACCTAACATTTGTCGCAGCTTCACTGATGATCCAGGAATTCTTCCACAATAACAACTTGGCAAAAAATGGAGTTCATTGTCAATTTTGCTTTCAGTGGTGACCCAGATACGTGAACGAGCTGAATGGCTTGACGAGATGGAATTCTTAGGCGAAGCTGGCCCTCATCGAGACATCATTAAAGACCAAATAGCTGAGAGAATGAAAGCTCTAGATAAATTAGGCATCGACAGCATATGCTCCACTGCCAGGTCCTCAGCTTCTGGGTTCAGCACTCTAAGAAGTCGAGAAATAGTTCAGTATGATAGAGGAACTGAGGAGCCACAAAGATCAGGTACATCAAGTGAATAACATAGGCAATTGGCATATCTTTACCACTTAGCAAGAACTGTGAGCAAAGATAATTTAATATTGTTGACTGTAAGGATTATGTTTAGATCTAGGCTAACAGATGGATTATACATAATACTTGATGATACATATATAAGTATATATGAGGAGCTCAATGGCGCGGGTGGTTAGCGCGTTCGGCTGCGATCGTTAAAGTACAGCAACTTTCGCAGTGGTCGGTCATTGGATAGGTGACTGAAATTCCTCCGTGCTTCGGAAAGTACGTTAAGCCGTTGGCCCCGGCTGCATCTGCAGTCGTGTGCACCCGCCAATCCGCACTGGGCCCGCGTGGTGGGTCATTGCCCAATCTCCCTATTCCACCCAAAGGTCCGTGCCCCAGTCCGTACAGTGGGGACATTAATACGCTGATGATGACGATGATATAAGTATATTTTTGTAGAATTGTTGCCTATTCATTATCTTAATCGGCATACAATACATCATTTGCCCCTACCTAAAACCATACCTCATAGCTATGAGGTATGGTTTTGAATATAGTTTTTCATGGCATCACTTTGAAAACTAGAGGACATAACCACTTTACCATGGAGGTTGTCAAATATGAAGGAAGTGTAATTTTTTTACAGGTTCAAAGCACAGTAAAATATCCGACAAACTTAAATCTGTTACCGTTTCAAAGAAAAAGCTAGAAAAAGAAGAAAATGTCAGAGCTTATAATCAACTATCTACATTGCAGTATTCACCAAGAAGGCGTGTTTAACATTTTTTATTATTATATGTAAATGTTTAGTTTACCGAATCTTCTGATTAAATTACAAACCTGAAGTGTGAAATAAATACATTCCTTTAAACACAAAAATTGCTTTTATATTTTGAATAATAAATACAGTTCTAGTTTGATAAAACTAATTACCCATCAACTATCACTTTCATCATCAATGATAATAAGTTTTGATTTCTTTGGTTTTGGTGCACTGTCATTCATGGTTATTTTTGTTTTATTGTTTTCCTTCATTTTACTACTACTAGATTTGTTATTAGAGGTTTGAGTGACATTCTTGATGTTTGCATTAGTCAGAGTACAACTGGGTGCTCGAGATTCTAATTCAAATGTTGTATATTTTCTTATGGGCATTTTCAGACTGAAATCACTGTCTTGTGCAAATTCTATATTAGGTCCTTTTTTTATATAACTTATTGTACTATATGCAGTAAAATGAAAATCTTCTATTAAATAATTTTCAACCAGTAAAAATGCTATAATATCCTCACCTAGTGTCCTTGAAATAGCAGGACTTTTACCATTATGCCGTAAATTTACTGGCCCTTTAAGAAACCATGCATCAAGTAGTTTCTGAGCAGTCAACTTTGTGTCTTGTTGATCTGCGTTATCTATTATACTAGAAAGTGTCCTACAGTAAGATTCCAGGTTTATTTCTTTCGTATTCAAATTTGTCTCACTGCATACATCACACATTTTATTGCAATCGTCACTTCCCCAATCTTCATTAAAATGTTCTGCTATTAACTTTCTTCTGCAAATATTTCCTGTAATACAATATTTGACCATACCATACAAGTGACCAAGATCACCCACAGAGGAGAAAACCATAGCACTAACTTTGAAAATATCTTGCATCCTATATAATGTAACACATTCAGCTCTTAAGCCATCCCGTCCAGCTCTACCACTTTCTTGATAGTAATTTTCCATTGTTTTACTGATAGTGTGGTGGATAACAAATCTGACATCAGGTTTGTCAATGCCCATCCCAAATGCAACTGTTGCTACTATAGTTTGATAATGTTTATCATGCCACTTCAAATGTACTTTAGATCTATCTTTGGCGTCCATATTTGCATTGTAGCAACCTACTTTTAGACCCCTTTTACGTAAACCACTAGCCAATTCTTCAGAATCTTTAATGCTGTTTGTGTATATTATACCAGTCTCATCTTTATATCTATATTTTAAAAGTTTCTCCAAAATATTGAGACATTCTTCTTGTGATGTGGGTTTTTCTAATATTTTGTAAAATAAATTTGGCCTGTTAAAGGTGGACTTTATAACTAAACAGGCAGGGATATTAAGTATTTTTTGTACATCATTCAGTACATGGCTGGTGGCTGTAGCTGTCAGTCCTAATATTGGCACTTTAGGGAACATATTGGAAAGGATTCCAAGAAATTTATAATCTGGTCTGAAGTCATGGCCCCATTGTGAACAACAGTGCACTTCATCTATAGCAATTCTTTGTAATCTGCCATCACTATGGCACTTTTGCAAGTTTGACATAAACCTCTTACTCTTAGCAAGTCTCTCTGGAGTAACATAAAGCAACTTGATACTTGTATCCTTATCTTTAAGAACATTCAACGCAGCTTGCGTTTCTTCTTTTGGACTAGTACTAGTCATTAACATGGCTGGTATATTCCTGATTTTTAAAGATCTCACTTGGTCTTCCATTAATGAGACTAAAGGCGATATAACGATAGTTATACCAGGTTTCACCAAAGCAGGCAGCTGATAACACAAACTTTTACCAGCACCAGTTGGCATAACAACGATTGTGTGCTGACCAGAAAGTGTAGAATTGATAGCACTTAGCTGCTGTGGTCTAAAATAATTTAACTTAAAAACATTGTGTAATGTATTGTTTACATCTAGAGTCCACTCGTATTCAGTACCAGCCCAATCTACACTAGACAAAGTTTCAGACTTTAACTGATCTAGCGAAGATCTCAGAGCAGCTTTTCTTTCTTGTAATTGTAACTGTACCTTTTTTAATTTTCTTATTTCTGAATCTACCTTAAGTAATTCTCCATCCACCAATTTTATTTCCTTCTCCAATTCTACTGCAGACTTCATAGTGTTATTTTTAAAGTTATCAAAGTTTAGCGTTTTTGTTCAAAGTTGTTTCTGCTTGCCAAAGTATTCTTTGAATCCAAATAAATAAACTTATGAATAAATGAGTTTTCATTCAAAATTGTTTACAAAATATTGTAATGAAAATTCAAAAATCACACACAAGTAGTAGGCATGCGTCCGATATATCCACGATATATCAAAACGAATCCAAAATCCGATTTCAAACACAAATCGATACCGAACGATTTCTCAACAAGAAAATCCGATTTCAGAAATCTAACCGAACCAAAACGCTGGCGATCTAATACCACCACAAGTCCACAAGTATCCAAATGTAAGTCGGATTCGAAATTCGTGCTTTCGTTTTCGGAAGTCAGATTTCGTGCTCGGAAGTCCGATTTCGGTTTGCTGTTTACGGAAATCTATTGTTCTTCTCTAAGGCGGGATTATTTATTACTGAAAAAAGATGTCTAAAAACATCAAAAGTCGAGCAACTGACATTTTTTGAACGCTAACCTGAAGTAATTAGGTTTGATTTTGTAAATGGTTTGAAAAATAATAAAAACAAACAGAAAAACCAAAAAAAATACTAAAAAAATATGTAAAAAGAAATCATTTAACATAAGCCGATTTTTAAATGCGCCGCAAAAGTTTTACTCTTAACCGTAAAGATAATTTTTCTGCTAGTCCTAAGCCACAGAATATATACTCTTGCCTAAGCCTAGATTTAAAGCATAAAGGAAAATCGCGCAAATCTACGAGTATCCTTGCTTCGTACAATTAATTGTTTGTGATTGTCGTTAGCTAATAAAACCATATCACAAACTAGTGAATTGGCTTAGTTCGGCACATCTGAAATCTGATATCTAAAAACGGATTTTAAAATCGATTTTGAAATCTGAAATCCGATAAATATCCGTTTGCGTTCAAAACCAAAAACGCCCATGTCTAACAAGTAGGTACGTGTTTTTTTTTGGCTAAGTTCTCCCTTTTCAGGGAAGGCAAGGGGAACAATGCCCATACAGCCTAGTCTTAAGTTAAATTATTCTGTTTTTCTTTTTACATTAGAATGTCGGTGTAACGTATTCTAATGTTTCTTGAAGTGTTGGGCACGAAATGTATCGAGCTGGCTTTTTTCGATAAGCATCTGTGAGGTAGTCAATACTACAATAAAATTCTCACGTCCACTTGACCGGAATAGCGTATATTTTGACGATTCTACTAAATCTTCAGTTACGCAGACAGTTGTAACACAAAATGACACCAATTTTATTTCACAATATCCACTATGAACGAATTTAAGAATAATTAAAATAAGACCCCAACCACACTCGATGAAATCCCGCCAAAAACCCTGTTTTTTTTTTACTCTGAGTTTGTCAATTCAGTCTTATAACGCCGCAGTGCCTAAAAGCACAGAACACAACAAAAGTTAAGTATGACAGAACAGATCATAGTATGTATATCGGCCGGCACTTAACTTGGCTATTCGTCTTTGCTACTTGGAAATTTGACATCAGTCTGACTCCCTTATAATAATCTTCAAGGAATGAAAAAGACAGTGTAAAAGAGATGGCAATTCCAGAATCGACAGCAATTTCATGTTTACCAATATTAAACACGAATAGCCAAGTGCCGACCATAGAGAAAGGTAAATATACCAAAAGGATGCCGACTTTAGACATAATCTACGTTCAATACCTATGCTCTGAGGGCAACTTTTTTTTACCTTATGATGTTAATCCCAAGTATACTCTATGGTTAATCCCCATCCCATACCTACGTGATGCGTTACTGCGAAGTTTCAGGTGGCTTTGGTACTAAAATGCGCTAAAATTATCGTCCGAACTTTGAATTAAGTAAAATTTTTCAGCTACACATACAAACTAATCTCCGACACGACAACGTTTTTAACGTGTCAAACTTTTGAGGTTGTCAAATTATCGTGAATCGTGAGTCAAGCTATCGTCTATCTAGCGTAGTCGTTCTGAACCGGTAGTCCGCGGACCACTGGTGGTACCTGGAAGTATCAGAAGTAGTCCGTGAAGCAAAAGTATTACGTAAGGAAGAATGCAAATCCTAAGCGACGCCGACGGTCCGTGACAAGACGAAAATTTTGACAAAGGGTCGTCACTAAAACGTTAAGAACCATTGATTTATTAACACAGAACTATTTCAAATTTCGAACGCAAATTTTAGCTCATTTAGTACGCTTAGTGGCCTGAACCTACGTCGACGTGGTACGTGGAGGTAGTAAGGGATAATAATTTTGTCTGCAGATGAAGCAGCGTACAACAACGCCTTTAGCGGCGAAAATTTGGACGCCAATTTTAGCGCTATAAGTAGCCAAACCTTTGTCGCGCAGATGTGAGAGAGGGGGAGAAGTATGACGTTAAAATTTCGACATTATGAGTAAGCGCACATTTAGCCACAAGCGCGGTCACTAAATAGTAGCTCAGTCAAGCCATTAGATGCAGCCACTGATCGCCACCTTTAGTGGCTTAGTGGGGGCCAGTAGTGCCTTAGTACTATATAAAATGTATGAAAAAACTCGACTGCATCTCGTGGACGCCATTAGTGGCCGCCCATGAGTGGCTCAATGTGCGCTGAATGTATGAAGCTTATGTCAAAATTTACATTTGTTCCCAGAGCTAGAAACTGACTGAAGCGCACAGCCGTAATCATATGTTTAAGGTCGCTGGTATCTATTTACTCGCCTCTTCACGGCGCTTCTTTTTCTAATATTAATATTTATTATATCTTTCATACTTATTAAATCACATCCATACAAATAATTATTTTTATTTTCTAATTGTTCAAATGATTGATTTTCCATTTTGACGCTTCTTGCTACTTCCGGCTCATAACTTTTTCTCCACCTGTAAATAGCTTCAATGACTTTTAATTTTTCATCTCTTTTTAATATACCTGTGCCTGCCGAGAGAGACCATAAATGTATTCTTCAAAATTATTTTTTTTTTCCTTTTGTTTTGGCTCGTCCTATTAATTTTATTTTTCTTCTTTCGGATTTCAAAATTGAATGTCAGGCCATAGCGGTAAAAAAAACCGCTAGCGCCTAGCATCGTGATCCATTAGTCGAGTTTCACTCGCACTGTAGTTCTGGCCGTTTCCGGGCCTTTTGCATATGCCCGGGTCTCAAGAAGGCCTCGCGTTAATATATTCCGCGCAAAACATAATATCTTCGTGCTGTGTCTCCAATCTTCGGTTTTCCTGCGGAATACGCCGTGGCTATGGCTTGGCTGGTTCGGCTCAGATCGTGAGCGCTTCGCCGCTCCTGAGCGTGCCTCCACTCCTGCCGTGCGCTGTTCCTCTTAGGCGCGCCTTCACTCTTGAACGCGCAGTTACTCCTGAGTGCGCCGCTACTCCTGAGCGCGCCGGACTCGGTTGACTCTTAGTTATTAAGTTTCTCTTTCTCTCCTCTTTTGTATTAGGCCTATAAAAATAAATAAATTACAGTGCTATTAACCATATTTCTATCTTTATTTTATTAGTCCTTAGAGTTCTTTTTCGTTACCTTTTCTCAAATTTTATTCTTTCTATTCTTTCTCTTAAGCGCCTCTCTTCCGTTAAACTCTTTTACCTCTCGTTGGGGAGTGTAGGTAACGTTACACTACACCATATACTCAGGTCTATAGTTGTAAGGTCGGTTTAAAACGAATCAGACCATGCCGTTTAAAACCAACATTTTGGTTTAAAACGGAGTTTTAGGATTTTAATGGTTAGAAACAGTGTTTTTTTTATATGAACTCAGAATGCATTACATTATCGAATTCGCCATGCAACAGAGTACCAAACTGTGTATTTTCATGTTTGTTAGATTTTTTACTAATTATTATAAGTGAAAAGCAATGAAAAAAAATGCCGACCCCAGAGGAGACTTGAACATTGCTTTGCTTTTTACTTTTGAATTAGCGCTCAAAACGCAAAAAGTTAAACATTTCAAAAAATAATATAGGTTATTACATCATCACATCATCATCATCACCAGCCTATTATTGTCCCCACTGCTGGAGCACAGGCCTTCCCTATTTGTTAATTTTATATGTATTACTAGTGGCCCGCCCTCGCTTCGCTTCGGTGTAGAGCTGTAGTGTAAACTATAGTTTTTGTTCTCAGGCTTGTGCTATAAACAATGACTTTATTTATATAATTACACGTGTTATTGTGAGTCAACCATAAAAGATAGACATATGCTGTTGCGGAATATTTTTTAGACAATTTTATGTAGAATATTTCCGGCATACATGATTTCTATGTAACTTTAACCATTAAGGCTGCACACTCGACGGAAGCTTAAAAAATGAAGTAACTTCTCCCGTTTTCCCAACATTTCCCTTCACTACTCTGCTCCTATTGATTGTAGTGTGCTGAAAAGTATACTATAACCTGCCCAGGAGTATGAAGAATAATTGTACCAAGTTTCGTTAAAATCCGTTGAGTAGTTTTTGTTTCTATAAGGAACATACACACAGACAGACAGACAGACAAAAATTTTACTGATTGCATTTTTGGCATCAGTATCGATCACTAATCACCCCCTGATAGTTATTTTGAAAATATATTTCATGTACAGAATTAACCTCTCTACAGATTTATTATAAGTATAGATATAGATTAATTGATTGGTCTGGGTCATTTATATGCCGCCTAAATACGTTTTATTTGACATCGAAAATTGTTAGTATAATTTTTAGCTTAAATAATAAAGCCTTAGCATAATTATGGCAAAAATTTTTTGGCCTTTTAGCAAATTTTATTTAAATCTAAAGAAAATATAACAAGAAAATATTCCACGCGGACCAGGCAGCAGACGGGACTCGAACCCACACCCTTCGCTATCCGGGCGAATGCACTGACCAAATATGCTACCGCGTCGAAATTCTTCTAGCCATTCTTTAGCTGCAAAGCAGTGCCAACTCTTCGCATTATTTTGATCTCAGTATTTTCGTTATCATTTATAGTTCACATGGGTGTCTTCATCCATATAAAAAAGAGAAAATCATTCGTTCATTAATTCACTGAATAATTCCGAAATCATGTTTATGTATCATATCATGAAATAAGTTTCCACTATATGCATCAAAATATTTAAAACAACCTAATTCTATGCTTTATCTTCACTGTAAATCATGAATCGTAATGTTATATGATTTGTGCAATACTTCAACTACCTACCTAACACTTTTTTCTACGATTACTCTTAAAAAGGAAATGATCGATCATTCAGCTATTTGTCATTGGTGGTGCAGTTAAAGGAGCAACGATAGTCCGTATCGTGTGACTGTATCGCCTTATAGGAATTACTACTAAATTTTCGTTCGTTATTATGCAATTAAGTAGAATTATGTCAATACTATTTTTTATTATTGTGTAAGTGTTCAATTACCTTCAATTTAAAGGAATCTAAATGTGTATTGAAATTGCTAGTTGTAATTTAAATTCCCTTTGTGTCGTGAAGAGTTATTTTTATGAGAAGATAAAATTACTAAATACAAATACCTTTGTGTAGCTACACCGCATGTGTGAAACTTGAAACAGCTGTCCTTATATTGGCAAGAGGCGGTTCTAAAGGAATTCCTTTGAAAAATCTACAAAGAGTCGGCAGTGAGACACTCTTGGGCCGTGCAATAAAAACGACCAAAGAGGCGGGCCTATCTGATATTACCGTATCGACTGATCATCCACTGATTGCATTAGAAGCTTTAAAAAGTTAAGTATACCTATCATTATTTTGTACTGTTACGTTATTTATCACTGATATTTGACTGACTGATGCTATTGATAGTAATACATACAATAACTACGTTTCCAGTCAAATGATTTTTGTTTTAATGGACGTCGCTGTTTTCAAGTTTTATTTGGATCAATTAATAGACTTCTTATGATGAAAATGTCTACTTACGTGTTTTTATTCAATAATTTTAACTTGACTTAAATTAAAGTAAGTAATTAAGTCAAAATTACCCAAGCTGGTGTGTATTTGATTACCTAGAGGACGTCGACTTCAATCGCGCAATGGTTAGAGCTCTCGGTCTGCTTGGAAGTTAGTGGAAAAGTTATTCCTCGCTCATCGTGCTTTGGGAACCACAGTAAGATTCTTGGTATGCATCAACAGTCGTCAGAAGCACCCAAGAAGCGGTGTGCTCGCTTAATCCACCCGGACAGCGGAAGACGCAGGTTCGAATCCTGTCTGAAACGTTGAATTAGTTGATTTTTTCTAGTAAAAATCTTTAGATTTATAAATCGAGCTTATTAATGTTTACTAAAATAGGTAAGTACTTATAACATAAGTCATGCTGTAAAGGGCGGGGATTATTATTTAGTGCTGTTTCAAAGACGCAAATGACTTGATTAGGGTAATGACATGATTTATAAATTATTACAAGTAACAATTCGTTAATACTACTTTTCAAAGGTGGGGTCCATCTGTTTCACCGAAGTCCGATTACAGCAAGTGATTGGGCTCCTTCTATTTGGGGTGCATTGGAATTTCTGGCACATAGGAAGAATGTGACTATATTAATTCTTATACAAGTTACTTCGCCGTTTACATCGGCATATCAATTGCACAATGCGCTAGAAAAAATAAATTATCCTAAGCCTTATGATTGCGTATTTTCGGCTGTCAGGTATGTATCTAACCCAAACCTACCTATTCTTTTACAATATTATCAACTGACCCTTGTTTGAATAAAATAATTCCAACATCCTAAACTTAAAGTGTATTTGCAGAAATTTTAAACTTCGTTGGCAGAAAAGGAAAGATAGCTTGCGTCCTATTAATTTCAACGTTTTTGCAAGACCAAGAAGACAAGACTGGAGTGGTGAATTATTGGAAACTGGAGCATTTTATATTGCAAGACGGCATCTCATAGAATCCGGTTATTTTCAAAATTATAAGTATGTGTGGTAGCGGCAAACTTCTTAAGCTAATCCACAGACAAAAAACTTGCGCAAAAGACGTTTTTGTAGGTGTGAAAGGGTACGGTCAGAGTGCACGCAGATTCAGATTCAGACTCAGAAAACAGGCTCGTGAGATGTCAGCTTGAGGAAAGCAGGTGACGGCCACAGTGGAGGCAGATGCTACGGACAAATTTTCGTGCGTTTGGAGCATCGCACCACGCCCGCCCTCGACCGAATTTGCAGTCTGGCCAAGCACTGAATTTACAAAAAAAAAAATATTAAGTTTTTTGTTGCTGTGATGCCTATACTTCACAACTATGGAGCAAGTATTTTGTATAGTTGGTCACTATTAGAGCACTATTTTCTGTAAAGAGGTTGCATAACAATAAGCCGTTTTCTAGAATGGCCTGGTGTATGCTACCTTGATCGTCACGCTAGCGCACACCATGAAAACTGTTATTATTTCCCAAACTAAAGAGGAAAGATTTTTTTTATTATTGCATTAATTAGGCACTATTTACGCACTATTTAATAGCATAAGGTAGTTTTACAATTACAGAGCATAATGCGACTCAGTGGCGCACAATGCCGAATTATGCTGATGCCTAATTGGAACGTGAATTAGTTTTCAAATGCACCAGCAGAGTGCGCTAAGTTCAGTGTTGAAAAAAAAGTCAATGTTTGTACCTTCATCCATACTTATATTAATTTTTTAACACAGCTTGAATTAACTTTGATGATTTAAAAAAAAACAAAGAAACGAAAGCTTTAAAATTTTTTCAACTTTAAATAATATTACTAACGATAATAAATAAATAAAACATTTCGATCAATGCCAACTTATAGAAAAAACACTTGTTAATTTTCTGTCACTGAGTTGGTGCGATTGCACGCATCACATGAAAACATTACTTTTGAGAGTGCTCGATTGTGCGAAGCGTTGCTGTTGAAACATTCAATGATAAGCATTATGCCGCATAATGCGCTCTAGTGCTGTAATTGGAAAACTACCTAAGTAACAACCTCGGAACTCAATGTGGTGTCGCTAGCATGACGGACACCATAATCTGACGACGTTTTGACTTTCTAGGGCGGTGTAATTAAATTGGGTAGTGTAATAACCGTATATGTCCCTATTTATGATTTGCGATTCGTCGCTCAATTTTTGACTTTTGACAGTTGAACTTGTCTGAATGTCAGACTGTAAGTGACAGAAGCAAGAGGCGGTTTGTTTCCTGTTTGCGCAAGCGCAACCTAAAAGATGTTTACGTGTCTTTAGCAGAAGAAACTAAAACTTTTATACATAAGAAATACTTCCTTAAAAATTTCAGTTGCACTACCCAAGTAGTATCATCATTGGAAAGTTTGGAAGTAGATTCTCATTACGATCTGTTTGTTGCGAATGCGATTATAAATTTCTAGTTAACTGAACAAATCTCGAAAAGTTAGTAGCCTGATCAAATAAAAAGTTATAACTTCTGAGAAGGTAAGATTTTTGTTGTGCATTCTGAGAAGGTAGATTTTGAATATGTACTTATTTTTGGAATTAAACTTTGTCATAAATTAACTTACCAAGTGTTAAAAAAAAATATTTACATTTGCTTACTTAATTGTGTAGGTTGTTTACACAGCTTATCACGTTGTCATGCTGTAATACATTATTTATCCAGATAATTCTACACAATCCAGTCTACTTAATAAACTTCAAACTAAATATTCAAATTGTATCTTTTACAGCACAAAATGTCCATGAGTAGCACAGATACTGTGATATTTGAAGATTTAGAAGCTACAGATGTAATAAGTGTAGAGTTAGTTCCTGAGCGAAAAGGTCTGATACTAAAGCACTGTGAATATTATGTCAGTTCCCGAAGACATGGAACTACTGTGACAAGAAGATATAATGACTTTGCACAGCTACAGGATGTTTTATTTGCTAAATATCCATACCGGTAAGTTGTTTGTCAGTATGAGGAGTTTGATGAGTGGAGTTTGTAATTGGGAAGCCAAGCACCTTTTGCAATGGCTGCTCATGGGATGGGTGACCGAAAATATCTTATCTTGCACTTTCCGTATCTCAAAAAGCGTATTAAGCTGTTGTGGCTACATTTGCGGTTGTAGCACCATAGCCAGATTTAAAGCAGGACAGGCCGGAGGTAGGCCCCCACAGGAGAGGAGCCCCAACAAGGGCGATAAAAAAAAATCAATTGAAACCATATTAAAACTTGGGCACCCTTCAACCCCTCCTTTAGGGGTAGTTTAGGCAATTCAAAAATCGGAAACTATTATTTATATATTTAGATAAGTATTCATACCAAGTTTTAAGTTTACTAAAGATATTTTTGCCAGATGCTGGCACCAGAAAAACTATCACATCAAAATATATGGCTTCTGTCGCTTCTCACAGCCCAATCCCAAATATATTCCTGAATGTAGGTGTATTTATATAATATTGGGAACTGGTAAAAACTGGTATTTGGCAATTCCAGGACAATAAAGTCTAATTACAGGGGACTGGGTAAGACGCAAAATTCCAGGGTAATCCCGAATTACCTGGCCATCTGGCAAGCCTAGGCTAGAGTAGAGAATAATTAAAAAAATAATAATATTCAAAGCAGACGTAAAGTAGCAAACTAAAACAAAATTATATTTATCAAGGTTAATGTTAAAGTAGGAAATGAGATAAACTGGATGAATGTTATTATTCTATTATTGCTGTAGCTATTACATTAGTCCTTAGGATTACAGTGTCAAGAAAAAAACCTTGAGGCATCTCAAGTTTTTTTTCTTGACACTGTAATCCTTAGGACTAATTTAAACAAGAATCTCAAATTAAGCAATAATGGAAAATAAAATGAATATATATACAGGATGCTCACCTTGTACTGGCGAAAAATGGAACTTCTGAAAAATAAAAAACATCTACCAAAAAATATATATGCAACAGAGGATTATCCTAAAGAAGTACTTCTAAAGAGGAAAGAATTAAAAACTCAACTAAAAGAAGAACTAGACAAGGGCAACGAGGGATATATTATTTACGATCGACTAATTGTAAAAGAAAAAAAAGAAAAAAGGAAGCGGTCGCCGACAGAGTCACCAATTGCATCAAACGACGAGAAAACAAAAAACACCAACAAGACTAAAATGAGCAGAGTCAACTATTTCGACAAAGCGAGATCATTCTCCTTCAGCGGAACCAGCAGCGCGAACTAGCAATTAAGTAACACCAGCACCGAACGGAAAACCAAAAATTTACAAACAGAAAACAACACAACAACAAGGAAAAGTCCCAATCAGGCTGGTCACCTTGGGACGTTAGACCACCACCCTCTAGAAAATAAACAACAAACAGGAAAGACATTAAAACCTAAACTTTTACTAAACCCAACAATAAGAAAAGATAAAAATAAACTATTCATAGCAACCCTAAATACAAGGACACTCAGAACAGATGATAGACTAGTAGAACTCGAATATGCATTACAAGGAATAAACTGGGATGTAATAGGTCTGAGCGAAGTACGACGACTAGGAGAAGAAGTGAGAGAACATGAAGATTACCTGTTCTACTACAAAGGAGAAACAAAGGGGCTACACGGTGTAGGTTTTATCGTTAAAAAGCATCTCAAAGAAGCAATTACACAATTCAGAAGCAAATCGGAAAGAATTGCTATTTTGGACTTGACTATCCAAGATGGAAAAGAGCCATGGTCCATCATACAAGTATATGCGCCCACAGAGAATGCAAACGAAGAAGACAAGAACTTATTCTATACATCACTACAAGATACTATTGAAGAAACTAATAAAAATAAGATTATATTGGGAGACTTCAACAGCCAGATAGGTAGCCAACAAAATGGAGAAACTAACATCATTGGACTCTACAGTCAAGGTAGGCGAAATAAAAATGGACAAAAACTCATCGATCTTGCCCTTGAAAACAATTTAAGGATAATGAATACCTACTATAAGAAAAAAAGAAGCAGGAAATGGACTTGGATTTCACCTGATGGGAAAACCAAAAATGAAATTGATTTCGTATTAACCAACACACCGGGATTATTCAATGATGTAGGCATAGTGAATAACCTAAACTTCAGCACAAACCATAGAATGGTTAGAGCTACCTTGGAAATTACAAACAAAAAACGAACTAGGAAATACATAAAAAACAGATCAGATCAGATAGCAACTCCAATATCAGAAAACATCCTTAATAAAGTAAAAAGTCAGATGGATAAAATTAAAAATAGCGATTTAATTCAAGAAAAATATAACACATTCGAAAAAATATTAACTAATCTAGGAAACGAATTGAGACACATGAGTAAGTTAAACAAAATAGACAAAATAGGACATACAGCAAGAACCCTAATAAAAGAAAGAGGAGAAATGCTTGCAGACAGGAAAAAGAACATTAAAAAGATAGAAGCAATAAGTAAAAAGATCACATCAAGTATAAGAGACCATAAAAAGAAAGTACGTTTCAACAGCATTCAATCTGAAATCGAGAAAACAGGAGGAATCAAAAGAGTAATGAAGAAACTTAAGGATCACTCATTTTGGATACCGAAAATGAAGGGAAAAAACAAAGAAAACAAAGAATTTACAACTACAAACAGAACATCAATCAGCAAAATCGCTACGAACTTCTACAAAAGCCTTTATAGTTCATCCGAACTATCAGTAACAATAGAAAATCTAAACAAAGAAGAAGAAGTCCCTTACATACTAGAAAGCGAAACGAGACAAGCCATACTATCACAAAAGAACGACAAAGCTCCAGGAGAAGATAAAATAAACAATGAACTGCTTAAAGCGTCATTGAGTACTATACTAAAAACACTTACTAGTCTATTTAACGAAATCTTAGATAGTGAAATTATTCCGGAACAATGGACAAAATCAACTATAATATTGATTCACAAAAAGGGCGATAAAGACAAAATAGATAACTATAGACCCATTAGCCTCATGACAAACTTGTACAAAGTTTTTTCGAAAATTATTTTAGGCAGGCTCACCAAACGACTAGACGCGGAACAACCAAGAGAACAGGCAGGCTTCAGAGCAGATTTTTCAACGGTAGACCACATGCATGTCGTAAAACAAATAATAGAAAAGTACAATGAGTACAGGAAACCATATTATATTTCCTTTGTAGACTATAATAAGGCATTTGATTCGCTATCTCATAACTACATATATAAAGCTTTGTTCAATCAAGGAATAGAAAATAAGTATATTAGACTCATAAAGAATATATACAGCAACAACACGGCAAAAGTACAATTAGAAAAAATTGGAGAGGAATTTAAAGTCCAAAAAGGAGTCAGACAAGGGGATCCTCTATCTCCCAAGCTTTTTTCAGCTGTGCTAGAGGAAATTTTCAGAAAATTAGATTGGGAAAAGAGGGGACTAAATATTAATGGATGTAGGCTGTCACACCTGCGATTTGCGGACGACTTGATACTGTTTGCGGAGAACCCAGTCACTCTACAAGAAATGCTCTTACAACTTGCAACAGAAAGTCAAAAAGCAGGTCTGACCATGAACACAAATAAAACAAAGATCATGACCAATAGACATCAACAAAAAATCTGTGTCAATAATCATGACATTGAGTATGTGAATGACTACACATATTTAGGCCAAATAATTTCACCAAACTCGCAGATGGACAAAGAGTTGCAAACACGAGTAAACAACACCTGGGCTCGTTACTGGTCGCTGAAGGAAATATTGAAGAATAAGAACACTCCAATGCCAATCAAACGTAAAGTATTCAACATGTGCATCCTACCAATACTTACCTACGGGTGTCAAACTTGGGGCCTGACAAAGGCGCACAGTCAAAAACTCAAGGTATGTCAGCAAGGGATAGAGAGAAGCATGCTGCACATCCGTTTAAAAGACAAGTGGAGACTGAGCAGAATTAGAAAAATCACAGGTGTGGCAGATGTTTCCAAGAAAATAAGGAGACTTAAATGGCGTTGGATTGGACATGTGATCAGATCCCCCAAAGAAAAATGGACCAAAGAGGTCGTATCTTGGTACCCCAGAGATGGGAGGAGGACAAGAGGGCGGCCACAGAGAAGATGGGAGGATGACCTACCACAAGGATGGCGCAGATTAGCAAGAGATCGGATAAAATGGAAAATTCTAGAGGAGGCCTATGTCCGAGGAGGACAACCTGATTAAAATAGTGCTGGTGTACCAATTTTCTTTTATTAGTAAGTAAAGCATTGTAAAATTAAATCAAATTGTAGCAATAGGAAATTAGTAATACGGCTAGTTAGTAAGTAGTATAATAACTATATCAGAGAATAAAGGCTATTTTTATTTTTATTTTTATTTTTATTTTATTTTATTTATTTTATATACAGGATGGCCGGGGAGTTGACGTTCAAGTGTAAAATTTAGATACTTTATGATGAGGAGTATCCAAATCACCCCCATGTATGTTCTACGATTTTGCGTAGTTTTCGAGTTATAATTTTTTAAATTATTTTTTTCGTAATTTTCACCTAACATAAGTTTTCGATTTTTTATTTCATTCTGTTGGATGTTTCTGTTTCAGTTTTTTTGTGATAACTGACTAACATAGTCTAACCTAGCACCCTAAAACTTATGGTTTATCTAGGCATTGCAGAATTTACTTAGAATTTGTTCGAAAGTTCAAAATTACGATTTGAGCTCAATACACACAAATTTTCAAAGTATCAAAAAAAAATGTAAATGGGGGATTTTGAGTTCAAAGTGCTTTTAGAAACTTCCTGAAACATTAAACTATAAAACAAGGCCAAATAAAGACAGGGTTAATGAGGGTTTATTTTCTGTAACTGTCCTTCAAAGTAAATTAAGGCATTTTTCAATAAATAGTATAGTAATAGTCAATTGACACCAATATATTTGTTTAGATTCTAGCATGATTCTCTTAACTTAAAAGTAATTTTAACATCTGTACAATATGTAAAAATGTAAGGTTTAGAAAATCATTTTTATTTATTTATTTTATTTTAGGAAGGTTTACAGCTATCAATCACTAATTAAATATCTAATAGCCAACTAAAAATCTCCACACATTAAGTCATGCCAATACACTTAAAGTAGGTATTTAAATATTATAAATTAGGATAAAAATGATGTGAATTTTTTTAGCTCAATCTGTCGCTTACCACCAAAACGCGTGGTTGTTAATGGAGGTAGTCCCCTTTTCCTTCAGCGAAGAAGGGCGGCATTGCAACGCTGGTTGACCTTGGTAGCACGACATCCAGTGTTGGCACATGATGCCGATCTGAGGAGCTTTTTGTGTGAAGTAACAGTCAAGCTTGATAAACCTAAGCACGACGAATTTGTATTGGCGGGTACTCAGGAAAATAGTTCTGTGAGTTCATATAACGTTTACAATAATGAGAGTCTACCTGAAGATTATTTAACCCTGAATAAACATTGTCAACATATATTTCAGAGAGACATGTCGACAGATGAAATGCAGGACACATTTTCAACTGATCAAGAACAGCTACGATTGGCGCAGCTAGGCATAGGCAGGATATATAAGATATTTGAAAGAGGTTGGTCTTTCGAGCTGGATAAATAGTGATAACTCTAAAAGAAATACGTAAGCATTTTTTTTCTAGTGGAAGGTAGATGTGAAGCTGAGCGAGCCGACATTCGAGAGATGGGAGCCGGTTTAAGCGCCCTGTCGACACCATCTATTGCTGATGGTCCAAGGTGGTCCAATGCTAAAGAGGCAATGAAAGCTGCTGCAGAGTGAGTATTTATTATACTGGATGAAATGAAAACTACCATTCTGTACTGTAAAAACTTATGTTTTATTTTAGCTTGGTCACTGAAATGAGTGACAATTCTCAAGACGAATTGGATTTTACTGAAGATGGTTCGGGTGGCAAGGTTTTGCTCGCGCTTGATGCATTGAATGGATACAGGTGGGCAATTTATAAAGCAATTGTGGACAGTGTTCTAGAGCATTCTACTACTTGTCCTATGAGAGCAAACATGATCTTCCATTACTGATACCAAGAATATTGACAAATATTGTTTAAATTATAGATGTAACATATAGATTGGTGGAGAAAAATAAATAAAGTTATTATTATTATTATTCATTTTTAGTTACTTTTGTGGTTCAGCCAAGGTGCCACCTCAACGAGTGAGAGAATCGCTGCTAGTCCGCGTTTCTATAGTCGGGTAAACTGTTCGAGAAGTTGATTATTCCGTCGTGTGTTTCACCTCTATAAAATCGCTTTATGGACACAATTGTCATGTTGTTTGAGTGTTTTGAAATACGTGGCACGCCGATAACAAGGCCGCGATTTTCTCACTCGTGTAGGTGGCGCCTATGAATGGAATAGATTATTATTATAAAGCTAAGAAGTATATTGGTGTAGGGAGTTATGTGGGCGGTTGACGCGCGGTTTGCACGCGGAACGTGCCGCAGCCGCCGCCGCCGCGCCGCACTCCGCCGCCTCGCAGCTGCTGCGGGAGAGACACCGGTACGCGCTGCGCTGCTCGCTCGAGGTAACTGCATACGTCATCTGCTAAGTAATAGATATTGATGTACGGAGTAAAGACGCCGCACTGAGCCGCCTCGCAGCTGCTGCGGGAGAGACCCCGGTGCGCGCTGCGCTGCTCGCCCGAGGTAACTGCATACGTAATTTTTGGTTGTCAAAAGTAATACGATACATAGCAAGGAGCAATAATTCGAAGAATTTCCAAGTTTTCCAGTTGAATATTATCCACCAATATCTACCTCGTTGCACACCTCTTGTTAAAATAAAGGAGTTTCGGCGTTTACGTATACCTTCATGGATCTATTTATCGCATTTGGTTCAGTCAGACAGCGAAGGGCGGTGACTTTGATACTTGATAGCACATCATATCGTGGTGCGTCGCCGCAGCCCGTCCCGTGGATATTTTCGGTCAAGCTCTTTTCCTTTGAAGACCTCAACCGCTAATTTTCGACTAATATTTTTGAACTACTATTGGTGACGTCGTACAAAAACCCTGAAAAATTCTAACTACAAAATTCCGTTTCGTTATTCACTTTATTAATTAAATAAAACTAGTAGATAAGGTAGATTCTACCGTTCCGTCCTGCCTGTGTGACTGATAACTTACGTGATTTTTTATAGAACAGTACCCCTAGCACGAACCAATATCGAATTCGAATCGTTTGCGAGTCCGAAATGTCATTGTCAAATGTGTACTGATTTTTAGTTCTCATTACGTACTTTGTGCCGCTGCTGTTCAAGTTTCCATACAAAATTTGACATTGACGTATCGGTTTGCAAACTATTCGAATTTGATAATGGTTCTTGCTAGGGGTACAGGACGCATAACGACATGCTCGGTTCCATTGCGCTCTAAATTGAAACATAACAATGACTTTATAGCCCCGATCGCTCTCTGGTTGAACCTTAACAGATCACTTCTTTTGAAATAAATCAAACGCCGACGTTCTGTACAGGAAGCCCGCGTGGGACGTGCGTACGCGTTGGCCGCGCTGGAATCGTTACCGGAACTGTTCCGTACGCAGGGTACTGCGCACGCTCGTGTTGCCGCACTATGGGCCGATCTCCACACTGCCCTCAGGCATCCGCGCGCTAAACCCACGCTCAAATAAAAACCATAGCCTACTATGTTATTTATACCGACAATTCCCTTGGCTTTTCCTTGATATCAGTCTGTCCTTTGGGGCCGTCAATTAATCATGTGATGTTTTTTTGGCATATTTTAACCCCACCCTCCCCCTTGGTGATACGTGGTGAGGTTTAAAACTGAAATACACGTGATATATTACTACACCCCCTCCCCCTTGTGATATTTCGTGATTTTTATGGAATCTCCCCCCCTTCCGAACCTCACGTGATTAATGGACAGCCCCTTTTCATTGCTTATAAAGCATGATAAAGACAGACTGTTACAAATAGCAAATAGGAATAGCCAAGTGAAATTACGGCAATGGAAACAAACTGTCCACGAGTATTCGACATATTGGTGTCGATTCTGGCATGATTCTCTAAACCTGAACTTAAATTTGACAACAGTGCATCCTTGTCATTCTCTATACAGAATGAAAAGGAGAGGCTGATGTTAAATTTAGTTTTAAGTTTAGAGAATCATGCCAGAATCAACACCATTGTACAGGAATCTAATGGAATGTCCCGTGCAGGGGCGTAAAACGCGTAGAATAGTTTAACAAGGGGGGCGCACCACCAGATGACACAATAGGTCGTAACATGAAAATCATCACCTATGTTTTTGGAATTTATTTTACACAATTCGTCTTTTGTTAATTCGTCCTTATTGAAAAATTTATAGTTACGTAAAGAAGCAAAAGCTCTACCCGCAATGAACTTAAAACGAAATAGTTAAGTACATATTGAACTAGATGATAAATGATGGTGTTGATTCAGGTATGGTTCTCTAAATCTAAACTTAAATTTGACAACAGTGTATCCTTGTCATTCTCTATACAGAATGAAAAGGACAGACTGATGACTGATGTTAAATTTAGTTATCAGTTTAGAGAATCCTGCCAGAATGAGTGTTATTGCTGATGACCATATTAAAATTTGGGACCAGTTCTAAACACAGCACAGGTTACTCAGGTGGATGTACTGATAGAAAATTGAATGCATAATATTTTAGACATTTATCTGTAACAGATTCAAAGATATTATTCTAGTATAATTATTTCTGTAAGTTCATATCATTAATTTAAGTAAAATACCTTTTACCTATGTGATTTATGTCTTCCATATAATTAAATAATGTCGGTATAAGATAATGCATGTATAATTGTATAGTAATCTCAGTAAATATAAAATTATTAGTACCCAGTAATCCCTAAATAATAAGTATCATATAAATTATCAATATCGAAGACCATAACATTGTTTAAGTGATTTGTTTTTTTTTGTCTTTGACATGTTAATCTCATTGTTATTCAATATTTGCAACGTAGTTATTATTGGTATTGCTCATCATGTAATCAATATTGGATTTGGAGAACATTTTATTATTATTGAAGTTAATGTTTTTGACACAGAACCATACTGCGTTTTATAGATCTTTTATTATCAATCTAATTATAAGTATACACCCTGGCAAACTTTTTGAGCAACAACCATAGACAAGGAAGCTTGCGAAGTAGTAATTTTACCTACAAAAACGTCTACGGCGCAAGTTTATTTGTCTGTGATTTTGCTCCAGAAGTTTGCCGCTACCTATGTGTCTTGGTCAAGCAAATACCTAGTACCCAAACAACTTTACTGTGATAATCTCGAATTTCAAACTTATTGTATACCTAGAATAATAGATAGATGGTAAAAAATTCACTTATCGAATAACACGAATGAAATATATTTTAATAGTTTTGTATTATACTTTAAAATCGAATTTTCATATAGTATCTGTAGTATTTATTTTACCTGTAAATAAGTCGGGCGGGACGTTAGTGACACTATCATTAATAATTTTATGTACCAATATATTTATATAAACAGACTGGTGCTGCTACGCTTAGCATAAATATTTATCTATTGAATTAACGTTCTTCTTTACATTAATTATAAAAAAATCGAGTGTGCATATAACCACGACACGACTGAAGTGAAACTTCTTTAGCTCCATCTGTATGTGTGTGTGTACATGTATGTACATATACATATTTCATTTACTAGCTATAAGAGAAAGAGAGAAAGAAAATGTGCGCGCGTACTGCTTTCTCTTGCTTATATCCCCCACTCAACTCCCGTTCGCCTCGCCCGATAACACTTTTCGTGACGCGTTCGCCAGCTCCCCAAGTCAAGCGTGCGTAAAGAATTTTCACTTCAAAAAAAAACTAGCCACTAAGTTTTGCGTGTATTCCGTAATATATACCAGTATACTGGCCAATGCTAATGACGTCATGAATCGACGCTGTACTGGTGAATTGTTCCGCAATATACTGCCCAGTGCACTGACGTCATGAATCGACGAAATATTAAAAATATTGCAAATAAAGATTTTTTTTTATTCACCTCATCAATTAAAAGGAATTCTTTTTGTGCGGATGCCGTTACTGTTCTTTAAATAAAAAATAAATAAAATTTGAATGCTTCTCACGCACGCTCGGGCATACGTCATATTCGTTTTCCCGGTAAAAGTATGGCAGCATACCAGTACAATATGACGTTGGAATCGTGACGTAATTACCACTGACCAGTATACTGATGTATATTTCGGAATAAACCCATTGTCGGTTAGGCAGGATGCGACTGTATCAAACGTCAATGTATCGCTCACGTGGCATGTCCCAACCTTACGTTAAAGTTTGGTAAAGTTCTCTCATTATCCATCTTGCTGACCAGCGTGCGAGTGAGCGCTATACAAGTAAAAGAGATGGAGAAACAGGATCTCTTTTACGTGTATAGCGCTGTCTCGCGAATCCAGCAGGATGGGTAGTGCGTACTCTTTACGGACAACGAAAGACTTGTGTTCGTACCATTTTTCAGTTCAAAACTATATGCGTAATACTAAATAAATGGAATGCGACTTACCGTATAAAAGTACTCTGTGAATGCGACAGATGGCGGTGACACAAGCCTTTGACCGTAGACAGAGAACCAGTTCGCAGTTTTGCAGCATAGAATAATTCTTTATTGCAAAACTGTCACATTTAGTGATACTGCTAGATGTTAGTGTACACAATTGAAACAAACAGTTACCCTAACCGGGCATGCAATAGACATTTTTACAAATCATTATTAAAATATATACCATTATTTAGATTATATATATATATATATACCATTATTTAGATTATATATATATATATACCATTATTTAAAAAAAAATCAATATCGTTTATTCAGTCTAGGCTGTTACAAGCACTTGTGAATGTCGAAAAGCTACGCCATCGGTTCGTAAATCTACGGCGGGAGATCTTGTACTGAGAAGAACCGGCAAGAAACTCAGCAAGATCTGTTTTTTTCTCCCTGTATTGTATACAGAGTTGGCAAATTGAAAAATGACTTCAATATGAGGTAACTCATAAAGTCACTTTCCATTACCAATGCAAATAATATAAAAATTATGAATATAATATAAAAAACTGGTTTAACAAAGTTTAGGAATGCCGTGTCCTGCTGTTTAGGCAAAAAAAAAGATTTATGATTAGATTATACATATATCATTATTTAGATTATAAAATGCATTACATATTAACTATTGCTTCAGGGACCTTACTTACTTACGAACTTATATTCAGGATGTGACCGCAGATAAGGCAATCTAGTTTAATGACTTTCTAAGGCAAAAGTAAACTAATAATTAATTGGCATAGGTAATCGATAAATTGTTTTTTTTTCTCATTCGTGACACAGGCGTAGCGACAAACGGACAGTCATCTTTATTCATAATGAAAATGTAATTGATATGGTAGCTTTTTACAAAACTTATAGACTAAAAGTGATAGCGTCGATTTGGTGATTCACCTGAACTTTGGCCATGAATGTCTTCAGACAGAAATTTGAATACAATATCTACATTGAAATACAATTTTCTAGATGATTGGTCATGACATGACAACATAATATAAAATGGCAATGGCTGGCAATATTTTAATGTTATAATATTTTATGTTTGACGTTGAGTTATACCTAAACTTTTATTTTACATGTAAATAAATAATTTATCGAATATGTGTTTTTTTTTATTAAATATCAATTCTTCAATAAAGTCGAAGGGCCATTATGAGCAGTCAAAGAACCTGGCTGGTGTTACGTGATTAATCTTTTGCTACCTATGTCAAGTCAGTAGCTAGAGAATCTTGCTTATGTAATAAGCTCTGCCCTATCTAAAATAAAATACTGGCTACAGCCCTGCTTATATCAATAGTTGGATGCATATGCTATCATCATCATCAGCCTATTAATGTCCCCACTGCTGGAGCACAGGCCTTCCCTATGGATGGAATAGGTATTGCCTTTATGGGGTTTTTCTTCCTACTAGTTCTATTGATAACTTAGCCAATTATTTGACCGAACTAATGGGAAATTTTCGTGATACTAGTCCTGTTCCTGTACTTTTTGATAATTTTGTTTTTTTTGTGTTCTGGTTATTTTAATCACCGATACGAGCTGAGAAGTTCACCGAACTAGTTGCACGTAAATTTCCCATTACTTCGTTCAAAAACATGGCCTAGTTATTCACAGAAATCCCTTTAGTTCGGGTAACCGAACTGATCAACAAACTAAAGGGGAGATTGGGCCGTGACCCACCACGCACGCTTACTGAGGATTGGTGGGTGCTAACGGCTGCAAATGCAGCCTGGACCAACAGCTTAACGTACCTTTAGTAGCACGGAGGAGCTTGAGATTATAAGATTTTGGTCACCCATCCAATGACGGAGAATTGCGAAAGTTGCTTAACTTCCGCGATCGTAGGCCAAACGCGCTAACCACCCGCGCCATCGAGCTAATTCTATGTGAAATAATAAGGCGTATGCTGTTCCCGCCGACAATGTACAAATGCTCGTATTCATCACGACATACAAACTTCCACCCCACCGGGATTCCAACCGGGTCTGAGTGGGCGAAGGTGTCGCCAATTTATCGGTCGTCAATTTATTGTAAAATCCGTTAGTATAATTAAACTAACACTAATTATTACTCGTGCGTATGCGTATGATTACATCATTCTACTACAATACGAGCGTAAATGAATAGCGGTGTCAAAATATATTCGATCATAATAGGTAGGTACCATTGAGAGTAACACATCTTTTACACAATCGGGAATTGTCTTACCTATTATTATGAAGAGTTATTTACAAACAATCCATGTACCTATATAGTACATTTTTCTTTTGGATGTAGGTTTCAATCAGTCTTTTCGCGACAAGGCGATAGAGATGGAAGTGTTATATCTGTTAACGTTGATTATTGTTGTTTCGGCGGAACTCGTGCAGGACCTTGCTCACGTCGAGGCTTTCATTAAAGAAAAGAGATATGTGCTAAAGAAGAAGTTTCGTCCGTTATACCACATATCGTCGCCGGTCGGCTGGCTGAACAGCCCGAGTGGATTCACGTACTTCAGGCATCGCTTTCATGTGTTTTATCAATATCATCCGTACAATGGAGCCTGGGGATCCATACAGTGGGGCCAGGCCATCAGCGAGAACCTCGTCGACTGGGTCCACTACCCGCCTGCCCTGTTGCCTAAAGATCACTACGATAAACATGGCTGTTTAGCGGGCTCCGCTACTATACACAATAATTATCTAACTTTGTTCTACACTGGTCATGTTTTAGCGTATAATAAAACCATTCATACGCAAAATATTGCGATCAGCAGTGATGGACTAATTTTTCAAAAGTATATTTACAACCCTGTTGTGAGACAAGCCCCACCGGGCGTGAATGAATTCAGAAATCCGAAAATTTGGCGATTCCGGGCCCACTGGTACATGCTGGTCGGGACCTCATCGGAGAATCATGAAGGTCAACTGGCACTGTATACTTCTCCTGACATGTTTCATTGGAAATTCAACAGCACCGTTGCACAATCTTATGGCGACATAGGACATACCTGGGAGAACCCTGATTTTTTTGAGCTGGAAAACCAGCATGTATTGATTCTCTCTGTGCAAGGGATTCAAGGTGACAGTTACAGATTCAAGAATTTATATCAAACGGGATACGTAGTAGGAAATTTCAATTATCAAACTTTAAGTTTTGAAAATCTAGAGGTATCGCTCGATACATTCGCGGAGCTTGATTTTGGACATGATTTCTACGCTGCTCAAACTATGAATGCTTTGGATGGAAGAAGGTTACTGATAGCTTGGCTGGGAATGTGGGACAGCGAATTCGTGGAAGCAAGAGACGGCTGGGCGAGCTTACTCACCATAGTAAGAGAGCTGAGGCTCACTTCTCATGGTCGCCTTTTAATGACGCCAGTGAGAGAAATGGAAGAGCTACGAACCGAAATCCTAGAGAATGCATGGTACAGTCCGGGAGAAACATTTCACGCTGGAGCAAAAGCGTTCGAATTGGTTGTGAATGCGAGTTGCAGCTTTTATGATGCCGCCTTGATTTTCGAGTGGAGTGGTGAACGACAGTATTCTATTTATTATGTATCTGACCGAGGTCGTGTGAGTGTAGACCGAGGAGGCGCAGACGGAGTCCGGCATGCTGACTGGGCTCCAGCGGGGCAGCTTAAATGGCGAATCTTTATAGATGCAAGTTCTATAGAAGTGTTTTGTGGTGACGGAGAAGTGGTCTTTTCCAGCAGGATTTACCCAAAGAAAGGTATTCGCATCAGAGTCGGTGGTGAAATGCAACTCCACGTGACCCAGTACAAGTTGAGGCGGAGTGTGAATTACGATGAGAAGCTACGGCAGTATCTAAAAAATAACTTTGCGAATAAGATTAAGCTTTATTAAAAATTGCATTTGTTCAATTGCTTGCTATTTTGTTCAAAGTTGTATAGTTTTAAGTTGGACATGTGGTCGTGCTCGTGACCTACTATCGGGTGTTTAGACAAAGCAAAATTTTCCTATGAACCTTTGTAAATTATACCTGTGAACCTGAATTCCAACTTACAGGTCCTAGTCAGTAGTTCCGGGTTTTCTGTTATTCTAACTACCTTTTTTTAATTTCTGTAAACCTACTTATTTTATACAGACAAATTTAAAGAGAAATATAATAATACCAAGTAGCCAAACTGGTTTTTATTGACGTGACAACGTCTTAAATTAGGTTGCGGCTGGGAGTCACTTATGAAAAAGTGTAACGCTCGGTAACGTTACGATGAGTTTAAGTTTACATGTACAATGTTTTAGTAAACAAAATATATTTCTATAGTTAAAATTTGTGCAATTCTTATTTTCATTCAATTCCTTGTTCCTATTGTGCAATTTAATTATATTCATATCAATAAATATTCTACCGAGAAAAAGACGTTGTCACGTAAAATCTTCGCCCGTAAAACCGACTTTACAGGCAACCATTTTTTTTTTATTTTTGAAACTTTAACCCCCTTATTAATAAACCAGGAATAAGCTTAGACTTGTTACGCCGTGTTTTGTTCATGTCACTGAAATGCCATTTTTCATTAAATGAACAGAGATAGAACATCGAGTAACTAACCCTAGCTTATTCTTCGTTTATTAATAAGGGGGTTACTAATAAATAAGGAATAAGCTTAGACTGGTTACGCCGTGTTTTGTTCATGTCACTGAAATGCCATTTGTCATTCAATTGACAGATACAAAACATGGAGTAACTAATCCATGCGTAGTCTTCGTTTATTAATAAGGGGGTAAGAGATCAGCTTTCCTTTTCAAGCAAAACTAATTTTACGCAAATTTTGACGTTTCAAAGTTCATATATTCTACCACGCTGTATTACTTACTGTGAAGTTAAATCGCAACACTGTTTTAGTGATAACCAATTTAATAGCACATATTGCAAAACTTCGCATGTTCCGCCATCTTAATGAAAAAACATAACTTAGATAGGCAGAGGAAGGAAATCAGATAAATTACCAGATCCAGATACTGCTTGTACCATAGATAAACTATACTAAACTATACAATAATTACCCACAAAAAAGTAAGCATAAATTTCATGGACTTTTCTACCGTGTTTGGTTAGTCGCACTAATATCAGTCTTATTTCTATGTGGTAAAGAATCTTTTCCTTTTTATTTGCTTCAAAGTTTTGGTTTTCCCTCTCGTACTGACAACACGTGAACGTCATTGATTATATACAAGCAACGTCATTGAAATCTGTGACGTCATATCATAGAGTGAAAAATCAAACAGAAGTGAATTAATTCGAACTTATAGCGTAACTAAGTATTTGAAATAGTGTTCTGAAGTTATTACACGGCCTTAAAAAATCACAGTTTGTCAAGTGTTAAATCTTGTGCATCTGTTCAGAAAATTAATGTTATGTTTAAGCTAGTTTTTATTTAATAAGGACTTGTAAAATGGAACGATTTTACGACTATTAAATGAGCTACAGCTGTCTACAAGATCAGTAATCTTTGAAACATTGTGTGTAAACTTAATAAAATTTTCCCTGATTTTAGGAGATTTAACATCCGCTCGATACCTGCTGTCACTACATGCCCATTCGTGTTATTTGTTTGATAGTAGCTTACCTTTTCATTCTATAGTAAGCATGATAAAGATAGTTATTGGTATTTGGTGTCGATTCGCATTACCTTATATAATATGCATTAATGGTGACTTTGAATGTCCAAATATTGCCTTATTGTTTTGCCTACACGAACATTTTACGGAGATCCGTGGATCGTTCAATGTACCCTTTAAAGAGGTTTCGGCTACGATTTGTTAGTGATTTTGTATCTTGGGTATTGAATCATCATCATCGACCCATGCTCGTCCACTGGTCATTAGGGGAGACCTATGTCCGCTGGACATAGGTCTCCCCTAATGCACGCCACTGCTCCCGATTTTCTGCCACTCTCATCCAGCCCACGCCAGCCAGCCTACGAATGTCATCATCCCATCTTGTCTCAGGGCGTCCCTCACTACGTTTACCGAGTCGCGGTCTCCACTCAAGAACTTTACGGCTCCATCGGCCGTCAGTTCTGCAGCTAATGTGACCAGCCCACTGGCACTTCAGTTTGCTAATTCGGTGGGCTATGTCGGTGACTCTGGTTCTCTGTCGGATTACATCATTTCTGATGCGGTCCTTCAGGGATACTCCGAGCATAACCCTTTCCATAGCTCTCTGAGCGACTGGGTATTGAATATCGTTGTGATTTGCTATCAAAATACGCTGGGACGAATAGATGTGAAGTGCATTATCACTTACTAATTACCATTGAAACATTATTTTAGTTTTAACCAGAGAAGCAGGGAATGCTACGGATGATAAATAATTTGGTTATTTAATAGTAGGTATGCATTTATGAATAGTCAGGTAACATAAATTAGTTGCTGGTAATCCGCGCGTATGAAACGTCAAATTACCCTAGAGCACAGTTTAATTATAGTGGCTCAGTGGTGCGCGGATTGAGGAGGGGTGAGGGAGGGACTTCAAATAAACGTTGAATGAGAGTTGTGTGGGAACTAGTAAAATACCTAGCACTTATCTTACGAGCAGACGTGTTTTCCAGACGTACTCACTTATGAAATATTAAATAAATGCCGGCCCTATCACGTCCGGCATACAGTTCAGTGAGATTAATGAACAAGATGATCACGTATCTCTTATTAATTGCTATAAGTGCTGCATTCGTAAACAGTGATGGTGCAATCAAGTTTTATCAAGAAAAGGTAAGAGTTTCAAACTTTTTACAGTAGTTAAATGTTAGTTCCTGTCATTCGTATTAACTACTGAAGTGAAGGCCAATGGTCAGCATACAATAACTTTACATTAGAAAGCATGTACAGTAATTTGACCACATGAGTTCAAACTATTAAAGTTCATCCTTGAAAAGTGAATTACTGCTAAACTGTATTTATTTTGATGTGAAAAATAACTCTTCTCAAGCTGATTCTAAATAAATTTGGAAATATTTATAAAATCCTTATTAGAAACATTCTTTATATTTATAATTTTTATTTTTAAGCATGTTAAGGCTCGATGTTTAAATGTAAAGAAAATATTACTGGATAGCAAAGGGTGCGGGTTCGAGTCCCGTCTGCTGCTTGGTCTGCATGGAATTTTATCTATATCGAATTTTCTTTAGAATACTTTGAGACTTATATACTAAATTTAACTTTTTATGTGTTTATGATAGTACATTATGTTTTGACAAAAAAATGTTGATACCTATAAAACTATTTTGGTGTTTTTTTCCTACAGTTATTTCATGAACCCCAAGATCTCACAGATCAGCAAATCAAAGACATAGCAAAGTTATCAGACATGGATCACTTTAGATCTATTCTAAATGAAATTCTTATACCAAGAGTGGTGGGAACTGCGAATCACGAGAAAGTGGGCAACTTCATAGTGAAGCAGATGAGAGACCTGGGATGGGATGTCACGGAAAATATATTTCCAGATCAGACTCCTGTGTTTGGAACACTCAACTTCAGAAATATCATAGCAAAATTGAATCCGTCAGCGGATAGATACCTAGTTCTTGCATGCCACTATGATAGTAAATATACAAGGGAACATGTTTTTGTAGGTAAGCAATTTCAACAAGAATTATAATAAAGTCATTCATTCCACTGCTAGAATAAAGCTTTTTTCAGTCATAACAGACAGCTTTAATTTGTTTATTCAGTCTTGGCACTGTCAATTGTTGCTTGTTATATAGTGGGACCCCTTAATATACTGAGAATTAAGCCCAAGAGACTCAGCAAGGGCTGTACATTACTAATCTTACTTAAGTCAATATATTAAAATTAAGCGGTTTTCAGTTGCAGCGCTTATGCAAACAAACTTAAAAACAATAATTTGTGACCAACCTGCAAAGGTCTTATTTAAATTAGGCACTTATTATAATTATAATACTAAGCTTTGTTATACCTTATTAAAATTCATGACACTTATGTACTCTGTGTCTTAAATCACAATTTGTAAGTGACCAAGGTTGTTTTTATCTTATCAATAGTACTACCTGATCTCTTTAATAGGAAATTTGTAATGTTGACATTATGCAACAGATTATGTCATGATATAGATGTAGATATACATTGTTCATTAAACAGAACGCTAGATTATCCAAAATATTCCAGATTTGAAGGTAAGGTTCCAGCCCCTCTAGCAGACCTCCGAAACGGGATATGATAAAGCAATCTAACGGCATTAACTGTCAGACTACTATGGAGTTTGACAGTAGTCTAACAGTTAATGTCGATATATCGCTTTATCATATCCCGTTTCGGTGGTCATGCTAGAGGGGCAGGACTCCACAGGGTTATCATGTTTAGGCTGCCAATGTGAGGATGGTATAGTGGGATCCGGTTTTTTGCTTAACATGGAGCCAAATCCTATAAAAGTCGATGAAAAAATCAATAATCAAAAATATTATTGCCAAAGCAGACAGTCAATTAAAGTAAAGTTCATAAAAGTAATTGCAGGTTCTTAGATTCTTTATAAAATTATAAAGTTTTATATCTGCACACTACTGGGGTACTACTCATCTGATTTATTAATGATTCAGCTAATTTATTTCCGTAGTGTAATGTCCTACGGAATTTAATTGTGGGGAAACGCCGCCGACATTCAAACAAGTTTTGTGCTGTAGAAGAGAGCTGTTCAATCCATTTATAATCTTTAAGTTAAAGAATCCTTATGAGATAAGTTTAAACAAATTGGCATAATGACAGTTGCATCACAATACATATACAAAAATTTATTACTTGTTGTAAGAAAAAATATTAACTTGTTTCTTAATAAAAACAGTAATGTTCACACACTTAATGTAAGAAACAAAAATAAACTAACTTTACTTGCTACTAGGCTTCAAAAAATCATTTTTCTCCATAGCAAATAATATGTCCAATAACAAGTGATAGGGAAAAATTTTTCTTGGAATATTATAAAGTGTTGTACTATACATCCAATTTGAATAAAGATATATTGATTTCTGATTTCTCATATTCACAGGTGCAACTGACTCAGCAGTGCCCTGCGCAATGATGATAAACTTAGCCAAGGTGATGGCTACACAGCTGAACAAAGTGAAAGAATCCAAACTCAGTGTGATGTTCATATTCTTCGATGGAGAGGAGGCCTTCCGGCAGTGGGGGCCCACTGACTCAATATATGGGGCGAGGCATTTGGCGCAAAAATGGGAGCGTACACCATATAGAGATGGCGCCAACAATCTGCAGAGGATGGTAAGTGTTTTATGGTTAGTTGTGTATGTATATAAACAAGGATCTGTGAAGTCCTCCGTCCTTTGATTATTTAACAATCAGCAATCCACTACCAGTGTGTGGGACTAAAGGAAGGTGGATGAATGTCTCACACATCCAGGGTAGATGACTTTACAGGGGGAGTAATCCCGAGGTTTGTCGCTAACAGCAGAGAACCGTAGGTTTGCAATGACTCTGCTAAACACTGAACAAGGCACCACGTAACTTGAGCTGAGTAGACGGCTTCTTGGTTGACGGCACCAGGTGACGTTCTTAGCCTTTAAGAACGAGAGGAAGCTGGTGTCCGCCCGCGGATTTCTCGCTGTAGCTGTTCGTGGTTGCCTTGTCAATGATCAGCAGGTTTCTTCAAGGAATGGATGCGAATCGAGGATCCACATGATCGAAAGTTATATTCCGCCGTTGACTGTGTTCAAATTACTCTTTTTCTCTTCTTTTTAAAAACTAGTGCAAAAGCCTCTTCAGCCAACATCCTTATACCATCCCAGGTCTGCCCATTAAATAAAATAACAATATCATCGGCAAATGATACTATTTTTGCATTTTGTAATTCCATGATAGTCAGACTGTTAAGGTAATGATACTGTATCAAAAGCGCGCGCTAGATCCATAAATATCGCAAGACATTTGTTTTAAGCGTCTAAATGGGTAGTATGTTGAATAACATTTTCAATTGTATTTGTAGTTGACATGTTTGTGACTTAAACCGTACTGTGTAGGCGAGAAAATAAATATTCTTTTCTAGGTAGGTAACAATAAGCTGGTGTAAGATAGGTCTTAGTTAGTCTGCATATACCTACTATAGGGGGTCCATCTCTATTATATTCCATTTTTTTAAATATTATACTAACTACTATAAAATATAACTTAGACCCTTAGATACAGGAGCATAAGTCCTTGGACCGTAACTAAATGATTCGATTGATATACTTCGATCGATTTGTTTTTGTGATTTATTTTATTGGTTGTAGTACATAGGTATTTGAATTACTGATAAGGTATTGTTTAGTTTAACACAATAAATTGTTTTGATCTTGAATAATTTCAAAACCCTAGAATGCAGAAATTTGGAATTTAATGTAAGTACATTAGGTGCACGAGATGATGCAAAAAAAATGGAATAAAAATTCCGAAAGAGGATAAAATTTTGTTGCAATAACACACACGCTTATAATATACTTCTTCATGCATTTCTCAGAAAAGGTGTTATGTCAGCCAGAGACACGTCTTATCTGAAAGATTTTATTTCATTTTCCTTCATTTTCATTTTGAGATACCGATTTGAATAGAAGTGTCGTAAGTTTAGTGAAATTATTTATTTTATAAATATTTAATCTCACATTTGGCATTATAATTTATTTCCCATTTTTAATAAAAGTAAGTATATAAATGCAATAAATATCAATACCAGTATAGGTAATTACGTATGTTCCTCCATAAAAATAAATAAATACGCATCTCTAAAAAGAATAATTATAACAAAATAAAATCGATAATAATAATTTTATGGAATATTTTGGAACTCTGGCCTATAAGGACCAGAAAACAGTGCTGTACTACAGTCGGGCAGAAGTTAGCAAACCAAATCAAAATATATGACATCAACGAATGCCTTCATATGGCTTTTGCTGCCCTTCGATACTCAGAGGCTGCAACCTTTTGCACCAAGGGCCATGGCCCTCGCCCTATGGTAAATACGCCTCTGATTGTGTGGTTTTAGTGGGTAGGATTTCCTTCTCAGTTGATCGAACCTTAGAGCCGGGTGAAATGAGTAGGAGGCGGCAAGGATGACGTCAAGCCTTTCTCTGACATTGAAAAAAAACCTCTCGTATTATTGCGACTTCTTCCATTTTGCTTACAGTATTTTCGTAGGAACTATTTTTCATGCTTTCGCACTTTAATTTATTTTGTGTTTTATTATAAAAGAGGAAGTTCTTACGAAACCTAATGTAAAGTTTATTTTCAAGGCTGTTAAACTAATATTGTTACAAGTGTCTTCATTGACGTTGCTGGCTGCGTACCATCGGATGGTCCGTATTAGGTTTGTTTCCCATTGCCATTCTATATATAGGTTTTTATCTAAAGATGGATACCATATGCCTGACTAGGGTTTTTAACTTTTTTTTTACCAACTAAAGTATTTTCGTAGCTGTTACCGCTAAAAATATAGATGACCACTTCTGATATCTATGTAGATGACAAATTACTTACTATACTACTATCTCGAGCTCTTCCGTGCTTCGGAAGACACGTTAAGCCGTTGGTCCCGGCTGCATCTGCAGTCGTTAGCACCCACCAATCCGCACTGGGACCGCGTGGTGGGTCATGGCCTAATCTCCCTATTCCATCCATAGGGAAGGCCTGTGCCCCAGCAGTGGGGACATTAATAGGCTGATGATGATGATGATATTTTTGCTGCTCTATACCTTAATTAATACTTCAGTTTTTATTTTAAGGCAAATGTCTGCTTTAAGCAAAATATAGTAGTTTCGCTTACTATATATTTTTTTTAGAAATATAGTATTGGATCCCCTAATATAGTAGGGTTGGCAACCCTATGCCTGTCTGACCGAGCAACCCCATCGTTATTTATGATCGTATATAACTTAATCTTAAATTATAAAGCTACTAAATCATCCAACTCATTAAGATTTTTGTGGCTCGTATAATTAATCCGGTGGGTACCTAAATCATCTTCACTGCGCGGTTAAATGCACCATGTTAATAAAATTAAACTAGAATTCCATGAGTGATGGATGAGCCTAACAAACTTCATAATGTTATTTCGCGTTTCTGTATAAAATGCTAAATATTAGTTCACTTAAGGATCATTAGAGCCATTCCGCCCGACTTCGCGCGGCTAATTTTCTGGCTTCAAAGGCATGCTTGGCTTTCTTCTCACTAATACGTTTATAAACGTGCGCTTACTTCATGAGCTCCGGGTCGCCTTGCTCTAACCTAACCTAACCTAACCGCGTGGACGTCAGTAAAACGTTGGTAACCCGAGTGTACCACCTGAAGTCGTCAAGTGGCACATTCGGTATTTAACAATCGGCTGTTCGCATGAATGTCTAGTTGCTAGCTCTATAGTCTATAGTCCAGAGTAGACTGCGCTTAATACGCCACCACGCTTGAATTTTATCTGTCGTCAACGAATGCTGGTGCATATGCAAACGTGACGGTGCTGTTCGGGGGCCAGGTGCATAGAGTTCTTGTTCGTTTCTTGTTTTTTAGGGTTCCGTCCCTCTAAAGGAAAAAAACGGAACCCTTATAGGATCACTTTGTTGTCCATCAGTCCGTCCGTCTGTCAAGACCGTTTTTCTCAGGAACGCGTGGAGGTATCAAACTGAAATTCTTATCTAATACTCAGGTCTACTGTCCCTTGGAGCTGTGAAAAATCAAACTTCTAAGCCAAAGCAATCAAAAGATACAGCCGTTTATGCCACCGATTTCCGCAAATTTTCGAAACTCGCACGGGAATCAAAACCTACAGAGTACTTCCCGTGAACTTAGAATCTTGATTTTTGGTATGAAGAAACGTCTTGTAGTACAGATAAAGGAAAAATTGCGAACACCGTAAATTTTTAGTTACATCATATAATAATAAATATTTATTAATAATTATTAAAAACCCCGTAGGTAGGTTTGTACGGAATCCTCGGTGCGCGAGTCCGACATGCACTTGGCCGGTTTTTTTCGAACTAAACTCAAAAGTGCCAATAATAGGAAGAGTGCCAATGATTGGGCGGTTTCCTTGGTCATATATTTTTGTTAATAAATTAATAAGATACTAATTGAAAACTCTGTGTATTTATTAATGTCATAAAAGATAAAGATCTCATTACTGGTTTATTTGTAAAAGTGAGAGTTATACGGAACGGAGGTCATAGCTTAATATTTCTCTCGGAATTTCCCAGTGGTAAAAGAAGAGGGATTCAATCGTGCGCTAATATAATCATGCTGCTGAGATCAATATTGATATATCCGTTTCTTAGTAATTCTGAGAATGACCGGGCTCGTTGCAAACAAACCTGCGTACAGGAAAACGTTTGGAGTTTCCATTTCTCCATAGGGGCATCGCATCATTCATTTATCAGTAACAGGAACCCATCGGTGTTTGCGATAACAACAACATGTTTTTCGCACCATCATACTAATATTATATGTGAAAGTGTTTGTGTCTGCTTGTTACTCAATCACGAAAACTACTGAATGATGAATAAAATAAAAAATACTGAAGCTGACGACCTCCGTGGCCGAGTGGTTTGTACGCCGGGTTTCATGGTGTCGCCGACTCGAGAGGTCGAATCCCGGTGGGGGCAGATGTTTGTGTGATGAATACGAGCATTTGTACTCCAGTCATGGATATTTAAAATGTATTTCTTTAAAAATATACTTATATATGTACAGTATATGTATTCTATCCGTTACCCTAGCATCCCATAACACAAGCCTTACAGTGCTTACCTTGGGGCTAGGCTAATTGGTGTGAGAGTTGGAAATATTTATTTATTATTTAATAGATTTAGATGAAATTTGGTACGCATATAGTTTATGACCTGGATTGAGACATAGGATATTTTTAATTCCGAAAAAAGGTGAGGTTCCTGAAGGACTCTCAAATAACTAGCGTTTAATTAATAGGTACTTAATAAAACACTTAATAATAAATCTATCTTGCGGGCATGAACCCTATGAAAGTTCCGATGCGTCAAGAATATTTGTAAAAAAAGAAACACAAAAAACACGCTTTATACCCGTTTAAATGCGTTTTATTGAATATGTTGTTGATGAATTCGATTCCAAATGGAAGTGGAAAAACCCGATACGTATCTTTTATTAACTGACGATAAAATGCCTTTTACAGATTACTCATAGTCCAGTATTTTGAAAATTTACTGAATTGACAAAAAATAGCAGTACAGTACCTAATGTTAATCTATCAACACCATGTCCATGCATCTTTTAAGAATCAAATTGCTTGTTACATCGTTTGGGATAGAGTTCAAAGTCACAGGTGACAGCGCCAGATCTAGAGGTACAAGTTAATCAAGTAGCGTAGTATTATTTTAATATGAATTCTAGTTACCTTTGTAAGTGCGGTATTTTTGACATTGCAACAACATAAATAATTAAAATCAAATAAACCAGCTGCCCTGCTAAAGAACTAATTAGTCAAAAAGTATAAATATATGTAGAATAAAAAGTATTTCATTGAACTGGTGGCGAGCTTTCTGGAATGACTTTTGAAATTTAATTTTTACTTTCTGTTTGCTTTTTTGCCAGGGCAGTTTTTGTATTTTTAATAATTTTCACTTAATATGCTTTTCAGTGCAAAGTCAAATAATAATGGTCTAGGATCCGTACCTACATCGACCTTCACCGAGCTGATTATTAGGATGAAACATATTTTATCACGAATTAAGTATATTAGAAAATACCTATATTAAAAATCGGTTGCCTAAAAAATCTATAGAAAGACTATATTTAATTAATAAAAAAAAAGTTTTAACATCAAGATAATAAGAAGTTCTCTAAACCTAAACTTAAATTTGAAAACAGTGTATCCTTGTTATTCTCTATACAGAATGAAAAGGAAAGGCTGATGTTAAATTTAGTTTTAAGTTTAGAGAATCATGACAGAATCGACACCATTGTTGTCCTAAAAACAGTATAAAATATGCAGCCCTTGGGTTGTCTGTTATTTACCTGGGTGAACTACTGGGTTGCCAGGTATAAACAGGTATGTCGACGTCAGTTACGTTATCCAACATTTTCTTATTATTTTGCAACATATTTTTTTAAAATCATTTTTTTTAAATAATTAAAAATAGGCTGTCCAGGATTTTTTAGGCAACCCATTTTTAATATATTTTGTAATATGCTAAAGTCATTAAAAATTATGTTTTATT